ATACGCTTGCCTTGGCAGCTTGGCAGACTCGACTCGACTGAGAATCGACTGGACACATTCATCCAGATCTTGGCACGGGTACGCTGGCTACATGAGAGGGTTGGTGGCCGCGAGACGATTGTATCATAGTTTCAAAACCACCACACCACACCACCACCACCACCACCACCACCATGATTCAAATATTGCCTAAACTGTTTAGAAAAAGGTTGAAACGAAATAGCTCCAGCACCATGCTCCACACTTCAACAGCGACCACCACAACAGAACTCGAGACTTGGAGTTTATCAGAGAACCGAAACAGAGACAAACGCCAGACTACATGTACCGCGCCGCATCACAGTGGATGATACCACACAAAGTCTAGCAACATCAGATGGCCACAATTCTCCTGTCACCACTACACTGCAAGAGAACATTGGATTCCTGACAGTGGCTGCTGGACTGTGCTTGTTTGTGGCTTGGATTCATGGTCTTTGCTTGTGGTATGCACCAATTGCAATGTTGATAGTTCCAACCCTCTTTCTCATTTTATTTCAACCCATGCTGGGAATTATCTCTGCTCTCACGCATGTTTCCTTCTTGAACTTTATGTCCATGCATGGTGATTTGTCCTCCCAGTATATTCTTTTGGATCTGATGTATCTTTGTCTTTGCTGGGAATACCCTGGAAATTTTCTGAGAGTTGGCTATGAGGGGGGGCTGAAACGGGCTGCTTTGGCTTCCATGTGGTGGGTGTAACGATTGTAGTTGTTCTTCCATTGCATTCATAAACGCCACGGTTTTGCTTCCAGATGGCCGTCATACCCATGTTGTTCCATCCACCTACCCTGCAACAATCCTTGGTGCGGTCACAGATACTAGCTAGTAGATGACGTCGCACCGAGCTAGCTAGAGCTGGGTCTTGCCTTTTCATGGACTCAACGATTGACTCGACTGACCCAACTCGACCCGACTGGACAGCAACTAACTAACTGGAAATAGCCAGCTTCGCATGCAACCCAGACAGATCTTCCCGGTAGCTGCAAGACAATATTGTATCATACACATGTAGTTTCAAAATCATCACAACCACCACCATGACTCGCCCTCGAAGAATATTACCCAAACTTTTGAGAAGAATGTTGAAACGAAACGGATCCAGCACCAGGACCGGCACTTCAACAGCAACCACCACAGGGGAACTCGAGTCTTCGAGCTTTTCTTCTATGCATAACAGCAGCATACGGGTGCACCAGAGAACCAAACCAGAGACAAACATCAGACTACCCGTACCAAGCCACACTACAGTGGACACCACACAAACAAGTCCAGCAGCAACATCAGACAACTCTATCACCACTACGCTGGAAGAGAACATTGGATTCCTGGCGGTGGCTGTTGGAGTGTGCTTGTTTGAGTCTTGGATCCATGGCATTCACTTGTGGTATTATGCACCAATTGCAATGTTGATAGTTCCGCCCCTCTTTCCCGTCTTACTTCTACCCATGGGGCGCAATATAAGTGCCACCATCACTGCTTCCGTGCATCTGTCCCTCTTGGCTCTGTTGTCCATGATGATTTTCCCTTTTCTCGGCATGGTCTTTTGGCTTGGCTTTATCATTGTCTCTACTGGGCACAAGCTGGAAAGTTTGCTGGCAGTTGCCCAGAATGGCTATCAGGGGCTGAAACGGGCTGCTAGTGGCATAACAGCGCAAGCTCGGGATCCACTCGAGGAGCAGCTGCAACAGTAACTTAATTACAAGTAAAAAGAATTACATTCCAAGGGACGGTGTATGGGATGCAACGGCTACCGCCGGCAGCAGGAAGCTCCAATTCCACAATGCTGTTTTAGGTCTTCCTCTCGCCACAATCAAGCTAATATTTGAAGCCAGCAGGGGCATTCAGCCCTCCGGCTTGTCCCTGGGGAATCCGTGATAGTCGTGTTTTAGTCGCATTCAGAAAGAAACAACTGGCTACCGGTAGCAAGCAAGAGAGGGATTTCTTCAAACCACAAACCACAAGCAACGCAGCCAGCAGCCGCAGACCAAATCTACACTGCCATATATTTTACTTCCATATGTGTACACATATGGCCTTCATGTCCATGGCGTTCTACCCACCCAGCCTTTTGGTCTGGGCTGTGTGTTGTGTGTTGACCGGCGACGTGCATTCGACCCCAAATAGCTCACACCACTGGGTGACATCAGACGGCACCAGACCGGTAGCGGGCTTTTTGTTCACAGCCAACTCCAAGCCCCCAAGGTCATCACTTGGCTCTTCTAGCGTGGTGTTGTACCGATACATAATTCCTATGCCACTGCTAACTGGTGCCGGACCATGGACCTAAACTCGTCTGCGTGCGCACAACTAAAACGTTGTACTGGTACAATGATATGGAAGTTGTGTATTCGTTACATATGATGTTGATGGCTGACTCGTCACTCTACTCTACACGGAATGTGCAGATCGTGTTGAAGATCCGGAAAAGTGGCACTGAAACATTTCCTCCATGGCCTCTCGGAAAGACGCATCCTCAGGGGGTTCCGATGAAACCTGGGACATTTCGTTCAAATCCACAGCAATCCCCTTTGACAATGGCAGTGGTTCCAAGTCCGTTAATTCCAATTCCGTGTCATCTTGTGCCAGTATTGAAGGAGTGAAAGCATCGGTGCCGTCAAGACTGACAGAATGACGATATCTGACATTGTCTGACATGGCAAAGAAAGGTACAATGGGTGCGGGATGAATGTCACTGTCGCTTGACCGACGTTGCCGAAAGCACGCCTTGGCCCGAGTCGAGGATTTGAAGATGTGACCAAGACTGTCGCGAAAGGATTGTCCAATCTTCTCCCTGGCATTTCTATCTCCGATATCACTCCATCGTCCATTCAATTTGCGAACAAAACCGCCTTCCCCTCCGTTCCGAATACATTTGAGAATCTTGGAGACAATAAATGATCGTTCTAGCTTGGAGGGACATCGCTTGTATTCTTCTAGGTGCTGATGAATCAATGATTTCAACAGTTGGTTGGCAGCATGTTCCTTTGCCTGCTTTCCTTTGGCGCAGATCACATGGCGAGGTCCAGGAACAAACCAATCAGGAAGAGGAGTCATTTCCAAAGTACGAGATATTTTGCTTGCAGATGGCATGACGATAATTTGTGTCCTGTCGTGTTGAATGTTGCTGCAGTTTGTTGTTGTTGCTACTGCTGTTGTTGTTGTTGCTATGGTTTTGAATTGTCCGGGGCCGGCAAAGATTTGGATGATTGGATGCACACAAAAAAGTGAGAGAAGGAACTGAGGACACATCAATCAATCAATGAATCAATCCCAGTTCGCTGTACCCAGGTTGATGCCACGTGCCTTACTTTTTCTGAAACACAGTTCGGACATGGCATTTAAGCATTCTGTAAAAGCTTAGCTAAAAACTTTCAAGATGATGTACAATAAACACCACAGTCAACATGAATACCGGTATAGATGACATTGAATCTATGAGAGATTTAAAGAAGTTACGTGCACAAGCTGTTGTGGCTGTATCGGATGTCACAAGAGCAGTTCAAGAGCTTACAAGGTGGGCTCAAAGAGTTTTAGGTCAGGTAGATGCGGTAACCAATTTTCTTTTATTTAATAGTTGTTTGTGGCTTGAACCTAAGTTTACCTGACTACCCTGACCAAATCTGTCCTGTGCTTTCCGTAGAACAGAAACCTGTCTCCCGAGTGTCCGGAAAACTGCAACCGGACTGAATACTCCAGGCAACTTCGTCCAGTTCTTCATGCACTAAAAGGTCCTGCTGGTAAAGCTGTGCAACAAAAAAGGTCCTACTGGTATACATGACAATGTAGCATGTAGCTTCCAGCAATGCTTGGGAGGCGGCCGTGGGAGTTGAACATGATTGTGCTGGTCTCCCACGAGACCTGGCCTCAAACAGGTCCTGCTGGTCCTCCGAGTCGAGTCGAGCGAGTCGAGTCACCTATGTATCTGTGGTGCAAACATAAGCGATTGCCTATCCATAGCATAGCTATCATGCAACCGCAATACGAGCGAAGACCCGTGCCCGTCCAACAAACTGGCAAATCGACGACAAATCACCACTACAGCCACTGCACTTTCGCTCCCCCTGAAGGACAAAAAGCGCTTCTTGAAGGTCTCTGGTACCAGTAATGGTCCGAGCCTCTGTTTGAATATTTCCTCACTAGCTTGGTATGCCAGAGTGATCTTCAAGAAGCATACGAGCGAGTTCAGAAGTGGCAGTCCTGGTAAATTCTTCAATCTATCTTATCATGAGCGAGGGTTGTACCAGTCCGCACCAGCACCTCGAGGTAAAGGCCTCCAATTGGTTCTTTATTTGTGTAAAAACGTGATTTTTGAAGATTCCATTTCTTGGTGCTTAAAAGTCATATCAGACAGACATAAGACGATGCCTCTAATCATCTGACAATTACTAGTAACTTATAATCGTCTGACAACTGTCTTAAGACAATTTTGTCAGACAGTTTCTGTCAGACGATTATTGGCGAAGTCCCCACTTCTTCAGACGATTATTGCCAATAATCGTCTGACAGAAACGCGACTATAATCGTCTGAAGCATGAAATCGTCTGAAGGTTTTAGCGATCGTCGATCTGAAGCATGCGTGAAGGTTTTAGCAATCGTCTGACAACTGTCTGACATCTATCTAATAATCATCTGAAGCATGGATGGTTTCTTTCAGAGGATTATCAGACAGTTCTCTCCTTTAAGCCATCATATAAAATGTCATTTTACTTCTTTTCTATCAAATAGGCCTTTTCCAGTGTATTACCTCGAGGTGCAGAAGCTGCGTGTTCTTGAAACGGTCTGTTAGGTACTTTATTATTTTAAAATAGTAGTCCTGCCAGGACAGATACGGTAGTCTACAGGACCGTCCGACGGTTTTCACACAGGATTTAAAACAAATTGAAATTTCCACGACTGATGAACCTTTGAAACAATCCCTTAAACAATCCCTTATCTCATCAACTATCCTTAAACAATCCCTTAAAGAAACAATCCCTTAAAACAATCCCTTAAATCTTGAACTATCCCTAAACAATCCCTTAACGCCAAATGGAAACACCATACAACTATCCCTATTTCTTCAACTATCCCCTAAACAATCCCCTAAATAAACAATCCCTTAACCACACTCCCTTAAGCTTTGACTATCCCTTAAACAATCCCTTAAGAACAATCCCTTAATTGTGGCGATCAAGTTTTTACTCAGTCCGTGGAGATTTTAAATCCTGAGTGAAAACCGTCGGACGGTCCTGGCTGAGTTGAGAACTCGAGAGATGTTGCCGCAACACACCATATTATTGAACCTTCAAGCGCATTTTGCGCTTGAAAGTTTTCGTGTCAGGAGTGATCATGGCGAGGGGGAAATTCAACAAGAAGAAGAACCCGGGCACTGGCTCAATCAACGGTGCAAATCCAGTTCCAGATGACACAAACGTGGAGCCTACCAAAAGTAAGGAAAAGATCAATCCAGCATCGAAATCAAACAGCGAGACTTCTCGCCCGGTGGAACGAGATTGTTGAATTCACTAGCTTTCCCAAGTTTTCCAAGTACCCTTCAGGTAACTAGATAAAGACTTGGTCTACTAGGAAGGTTGAATTGCATAAAAACCAGAGTCTATAAAGATTATGAATACTACCACGATTGGTGGTAGTAAAACTAGATTTGGGAGTCTGGCCCTCAGTCCTGGAACCTCCAACCTTATCCAACACACTCCTGTGATCCTGATTGAGTATCGACTCAGCGATCAGCCATCAAAGGTTGTTGTGGTTCCGAGGATGAAGTCGCGCATCTTAATGAACAGACTTCCCTGTAATGGCTTCGTAAAGAAGTCTGCCACCATCTTAGCTGTAGGACAATACTCGATGGTGACATCTCCCTTGCGGATTCTGTCGGTAACGAAGAAATACCGGATGTCAATGTGTTTCGTGCGCTTTCCACTGGATGCTTTCGCATTTTTCTCCAGTAGGATGGCACTCTGATTATCTTGGTAAACGATATTGTCACAAATATCGTATCCTTGTGATTCTAGGAATCGTCGAGTCCATAGGACCTGTGGCATCAGGTCGTCGACTGCCACCAATTCAGCCTCAGTGGAACTGCGAGTGTTCAGTTTTTGTCGTGTGGATGCCCCACAAGCGACACCAGTGCCAAGGCTAAGGGCTGCTCCTGTGTGGCTCTTCATGTCGGGATGGACAGCATAGGATCCATCAACCCACCATTTGAGGAGCTGCGTATTGTCGGCACTCAGCCTGTGTACCAATTGGTTTGTTGCGCGTAGATACCGTATCATACGGCACAGTTTCTTGTAGTCGTCTTCATCGGGACTTTTCACTCGAGTGGATAGGAATGCTACGGCTGTTTGAATGTCTGGCCTTCCCCTTTTGGACAGGAATAGACTCTTCGCGACGATGTGGTGATAGAACTGCGCTTGTTCCTCTGGCAGCTTGATCGGGTTTTCGTGATTGACTTGGAAGAGGTGTGCTGCAGCTGGTGTGACGCTCTCGCCGTGCATGTCCTCTGGGGCCTCTGACAGGATCTCCTCGACGTAGTCCCTCATGTCTATCTTGACATATCCGTCCTCGGAATAGTCCAGTTTCATTCCTAGGTAGTCGTGTACCTTTCCTCGGTTGATTGTTAGTGGGGCCTCCTTGCCAAACACGGCCTGTAGGTCAGCAACCACTCCTTCAACCGCATCAATGCTGATGTGTGATATCTTGAGATCATCCACATGCCATGCGATTGTACACTGTTTTCCATTAATCATCTTGTTCGCCACACATCTGTCGTATGGGTTGATCTTGAATCCCCACTCAATCAGTTGTGCTGACAACTTCTTCCAAAATAGTAGCGCCGCTTTGAGGGTCCCATAAAGGGCTTTGAGTAGCTCGACATATAGTACTAAATCTCAAGTTGCCACCTCATCACAAAGTGGGCAATACACGGCTCTTAGGCTTGATTCGCGACTCGATCTAGATAGGGTTTGAGTTCGAGCTCAGAACTGAGTCTTTCGTGAATGGTCATTGAGACAGGTTTCTCATGCGCTATGGCAATAACTAGGTCGATGGTGAAACATGGCGCTAGATATTTAGCTGGGCGTGGAGTACTTCCACGAAACTAGATAAATGCTAGAAAAATCTTCCACGCCTTCCGTTTTTGGATCGTGTAGTGAGTAGGCTTGCTACAGCAACCTACTATATCACAACATCTAAGTCCCCGCGATCGCTACTCTATCACACTCTACAGTCTCCCGCGGAGTTCAGATCTACGATCCTTTGATTGTGGATCTCTCTCGTTGATTAGTTTTCATAGCTTTCTAATCCTCTCATAACTTTCATTCTCTCAAAACTCAAAACACTCGAAGTCTTTACACTATTTTAGCGTAGTGCATTTTGTTAACAAAACAAATAGCTTTCAGCTACCCTCAACTATTCCTCACCATGAGATTGCCAAAGACGCTACAACCAGCTTCGAGTCTAAGCTGCTGACAAACCAATCCTTCCTTCCATCGACCTCGAGATGAATGCGAAATCGACTATTCTCCTCTACCACCTACAAACTTCGCACTATTCCAGCAGATGCTAAAAGTCGCAAAGTACAACTTCAAGGTCAAAATCATAAATGGATCTGAGATCACCGTCAACCATCAGTGGGCTGGACGTAGGAGAAGGTCTTCGTCGGGCTCGCCATTTGCTACGCCTTGCACCGAAACATAACCTCCTCAGGAGTATACTTCTAGCTCTGCCAAGAGGCAGTTACGTAATCTAGCTGTGCAAGGCCCTCGTGAAATACGTTGGAATGCCTTGCGACCAGATTGCAGTCCAACGCGGATTCTCCACGCGATGTACGTGGGCGGTGAAGACGAAGCACCTTTCCAAGCCACGTTTCCAAGGCTGCCTGGAACGGAGCAGCTCGCCTGCTTTGGACGACGCTGACATACGTTTGGCATAAATGCCTGAATCGAAGCGGTCTGTCCCTACAAAGCTCTTGAAAAGCAGAAACGCCTTCATGCGTCGCAAGATGCGAAAGCCTGCCGATATGTCCTACTCGGCATTATGTCAACAACCTCAGTCGGATGAACACCGATGAACTTCCTCGTCTACCACCTTTGGACCCAACCAAACGTTGAACCATGACGAAGTCATTGACATTGTTTGTGATGGAATTCCACGCTCGTGGATGAAGGAGATGGACGAACACGACTTCGATCCTTTCTCAGCTCATATCGGGGAAACCATTGGATTCTGCGAACAAGGCGGGCGGCGCGTCGCCCCAAATTGGAATCCCTCAGAAAACTTGACGCAAGGGCGTGATTCCAGCAAGCTCCATACGAAAAAGAAACAACAGCAAGAATACAAGTCTACTCGCAACAACGAAAACTCTTCCAAAAACGAAGAAAAATGGTGTGACTACCACGAGTCCAGCACGCACAACACGGCTGACTGCATGACCCTGAAGAAGCTCAAGGCCAAGTCTCAGTCTTCGTCTGACAACGATAAAAAGCCAGCGTACAACAAGAACAAGACTTGAAAACACAAGTCCGACGACGCCAAGCTTTACACCAAGAAGGAATTCTCTGTTCTCATGAAGAAGGGTTCCAACGCTGCGGTCAAAAGCCCGATCGCAAGAAGAAAGCGAATGCAACCATGTTCCCAAACGCAAGTCGCTGACCAAACTCCGACACAGAGGACGACTCCTCTGTTTGGATCCATCAACATGAGGGACAAGAAAATGGCTGCTGTTCGACAAGGCGCTTGCCGAATTCGTCTTCAATCATTCGGATGGATAGATCTCCGTCTGAGGGTAAGGCCAGGATGATGATTCAAAGGAACAATGTTCCGATTTCTCATACCAAGTTGATGAAGATATCTCACAAAATAGTAAACAAGAATTGTTTGCAACTAAAGAAGTATACGGCAAATTAGATAATTGCATAGTAACTGCTCACCTAGACACTGACGATCTGTTCAACATCGTTAACTTCGTCCATGGCCAATCAACCAATCAAACTTGTCGCAACACCGACAAGAGACCTCGAAAACTATCGTCTATGTTAAATTTAACAGGACGAGCGAATGGGAAACGAAAACCCGTTTCACTCTGTTGCTTACTGATACAGAAGCCATCCCGGAATTTTAAATTTGCTCAAGCTCATTCTAAGAGTTTATTCATGAAGAATCATGGGGCGTCCAAACACTATGGACTGCGTATATGAAGGAATTGAAACCCTGTACGAAGAGTAAGGGCACAGTCGCGATTCCTGAGTTCCACGAGTATAGAATTGTCAAGTGTAATCTACACGTCACCAAGAACTTGGGGGCGCAAGACGTGATTATAGGTCAAGACACTCTCCGCGACCTAAGCAATCAAGTTTGAATTCACTAACCATGGTCCATTGGGTGGGAACCATGCATTTTTCCCGGCGAAAGAGAGCAATACCAACAGAAAGGAAAACTTCTCCATTTCTGATCCTGCAGCTGTCAGCGGCAATGCAGATAGTCTCAAAGAAGATTCTTGATACGAAATACGAACAAATAGGCTTAATGCAGATATGCCAGAGTCGTAATCCGTTAAACAAGGAGGACCAAGAACTGCCTCATACCTTTTCAACCCAAGTGCTTCGACCCAGTCGAGGATTTACTGCGGGAGAGTTGCGATATGGACGACTACGAAGTAGACTTCGTCCCGACGTTAAATTCTATTAGCACTAGGGCTCACCCTACTTGCACGGGTCCATACCAACACTCTTAAGAAGGAGGTTGAACGTCTCTGCGAAACAAGGGCACTCAAGAAGGTGAATCGTCCAAGTGGGCGGAACCAAGAGGACTTTTTATCAGTTCCCAAGAAAGAGGGATCTGCACGATTCATTCGATTTTCGTGGAACCAAAAACAAACGGATCAAGCGAAGCCTTATCCTATCCCAAAAAATACAGGACATGTCACTGAATAACCCAGATGGATCTCAAGTCGCCACTCAGTCCTAGACCTGAACAAGGGAAATACCACATCACTGCTGTCACCTCACTCGAAGCAACAACTTTATACCATTTTTTGCCCAACTTTTTTACTCCCGAGGGAAAGCAGCGAGTAACAGAGGTTGCCAATGGCCTATGTAATGTCCCGACATCTTCCAAAGAGGAGATGAAAAAACGCATGCAAGACTTAGCAAAATGTTCCCGTGCATACGTTGATGATCACTCATCTAACGGACGTCGATCTAGAAGATCGCGTTTGACAGTAGGATGACCTTCCCCAAAGACTCCAAGAGAGTCGGGATTGGAAATCCAACCTACCAAGGCCTTCCTCGATAGAAGAACTGGAGTATCTAGACAATTGGATCTTCGAGAAGGAAAGCCAACTCTTAACTAAAAAGAAACACAGATGCGATCCAGCTATCGCTCTAGCTCTACCAAACAGGAAGTAACTCGTAGATTCATAGGACCAATGAACTACCAGGGCCGCTCCAAGACAGGCAAGACGAGTAACCATCGTTCTGAACGAGACTGAGGTTACCCAGTTCCATGACCGGTCGTCATGGACAAGAGGAACGTGATCCCGCGCATGAGATCGAGAAGACTCTCCGGGATGAACGTGAGACTTCGTCGAAAGTTCAGGCGCGTCAATCGTGACAAGCTTAACCAATCCGTTTCAAAGCAAAACCGGAAATACACTAAGGAACCGTCGGTCCACGACTTATCCAGAAAAACACGATAAGGAGGAACACGGCACGTGTCCCTCATCACACACCATGTCAACGGACATATGATGATTCATCAGTAGTCATAACGTATAATACGGCAGCCAACGCATAAGGTCCTTACCACACAGACCGAGTCGAAACAATGGCACTGTACGGCTCGACATGCTACCGCTAATGAGCGACAAGTCTACCAGACTTGGAAACATAAGGTATTTACACCATACAAGGCCTGATCCCCTTTGTAGGATTGCCATCGTGCGACGCACATGTCTACATCAATCTCCGGAGAGTGCCCGCACTTAAATCATATGTTCTCCTTGTCCGACTGATGTCGTGCCTTCCGTGACCCTTGTCAGGGGCGAATGCAATACACGGCTTCTTAGCCTTATTCGCGACTCGATCCTAGATAGGGTTTGAGTTCGACTCATGACTGATTGTTTCGTGAATAGTCATTGAGACAGGGTTCTCATGACCGCTAGTCATACTAGGTGATGGTGAAACATCGCGCTGATATTTAGCTGGCGTGGAGAAGATTCCACGTTACTAGATAAATGCTAGATACAATCTTCCACGCGTTACCCGTTTTGGATCGTGTGAGTGAGATAGGATTTGCTTACGCCCAACTTACTCTATTCACATTATCTCCCGCGTGAAGTCAGTCTACGATCTCTTGATGTGGATCTCTCTCGTGAATTAGTTTTTCATAGCTTTTCTAATCCTCTCATACTTTCATTCTCTCAAACTCAAAACACTCGGAAAGAAATCTTTACACTAGCTTTTAGCGTAGTGCACAAGCACGATGTACTTGCGATACATTTTTGGATCTATGAGCACTAATAGCTCAGCCATCTCGCCTTCCAGTTTCATGTGAGTGAGCTCATCATTGTCGGCTTGCATGAATGCTCCAGGGATGTCGACTGTCACCACCTGCCGTCCCTCCTTGGCATCAATAATGCTGGATAGGATCACGGCCTCTATCGAGACTGTTGGTGAGCTGGCATCCTCTTTTGCCGTGTATAGTCGTTGTTTCCTGCCATCGGCACATCCACGTCCTTTGATCCTGCCACATCTCTTCTGCTTGAGAAACATGAGATATTTCAGCACTCGCAGTCGCTGTTCGCGGTCCAATGTTTCGGGACGGATTGGCTTCATGACTGCTCTGTCATGTAATTGTTTCATCTCTTTGTGTACTGCTTCCAAACCGGCCTTGCCGAACATACGCAACCCCTTTTTCATGCCCATTTGTGGCGTCTGGAATGTCTTGGCTGTTGCTTCCATGGCAGCTTGCGCTTTATGCTCTGCCTTAATGTGTCGAAGAGCAGTCACTAGATGCACGTGTCCATGAGTGACATGATGCATTTGTGCAGCACGAGATTGTCCTCGCGTTCGACCAGCAACGACCGTAGGGTTTTCCCCATCTATCTCTAGTCGACGCATTTCTCTCGCTAGTTGCGGTGCGTCCTCAGCTTCCTCGTTGTCGTCCGATTCGGCATTGTCATCGTCGTCGGATTCGGAATCGTCGGCCTGTTCACCATCGTTGTCATCAGGAGGATCTTGTTGATTGCCCTGGTTTGCGTTGTTGTCGGCTTCTGCCGTGTCAAGGGTGCGTGGTTCCGGATTGAGTCGCTGTTCGCGTGGTTGTTGTTGTAGATCCTGTACTTCTGCGTCGTCCACTCCTGTAATGTCCGGATCCAGTTCATGATCTGTGTCGTCGTCAGGTGGATGGTCGTCATTGGTGGGATCGTAGTCCCCATCGTCTTCGTCATCAAGATACTCTTGATTGTTCCGGTCCGCAAACGTCACTCCGTCGTTGTTGTTCTTTGCCATCAGGTGCACTCGATCGATGACCTCACTCGGCATTGGCAAGTCGGTCCAATTATTCCGGTTAAGGATCCTTCCAGTTTGAAGGCTGTAGAACCAGTATCCTCCTTGTGCATTGCCAGTTGGTCGCATTGCGATTGCACCTGTCGTTCGAGTTGCCATGGAGTTGTCGTGTTGCTCATGCACTTGCGCATATGTACCGTACTCCAGTTTGCAGTGTTTGTTGAAATCGATCTTCCTTCCGGTGATTAGTTCTCGTGGACTGACTGCTCCCGACACTCCTGGAGTTGGTGGAAACACGTTGAGCCAAAAGTTACTGTGGTGAACCATTTGGCTGATCATTTGAGCTGGCATTCTTTTGAATGGAAGCGTATTGTAGGTGGCTCGAGTCCGTTCCTTGATGGTTCTGATTCGGCGTTCTATCTCAGGCACGTGCTCGTCTCGAGATGTGGTGTTGAGCTCCACACCCATGTGTGCTAGGTTGCCGCGTAATGGTTCGAATTCTCCGTCCATATTCATGGCAGTGATCTTGAAGCCACGTCCCCTGTACACATTAATCACACCGCTGATTGCCTTCATGACGGTGCCCGCTTTCTGATTGCGTAGCGTTTCAGTAGTACCAAACTTGATTGCGCCGTTCATTGTCACCATGAATGGAATTTTGTTGACCTTCATTATGTCCCCACTGAGAGTAAGGGATTTGTACCTTTGCATGATCTGCAGTGGGATTCTGGACGTGTTGTTGATGACTGACTCGGGTGACTTTCGGACTGTCTTTCCTTTTAGTGAACCTAAGTCCGGACCAAATATCTGCTCAGCTGCGATGGCATCATCTCTGTTGATTGGGCAGTTGGTTAGCCTGTTGTTGTCGATGATGTCGAGGAACGTCTTGAGGCTGGGACGACCAATTATCTTTTGGATTCTACGAGCCATCATTGCTTTTTTGTAGTCGGCATTGGTGTATCTAGACTTATTCTCAGCTACTGTATTAATGAGAACGGTCCCGTTGCTACCACCGCTGTCACTGCCTTTCATTTCCGTGTAGAACAGACCGCTTTCCGATTGATGGAAAAGCCGGTCACCATTTTGTTTGTGTACCACGAACGTGTTGCCTTCTTCACTGTCATACGTGACCCAGTGCTTCTTCCGGACTTTGGCCAAGGAAAGGATGTTGGCAATGCCTTTCTCATAGTACCACACGAGTCCGTAACCTCTGAGTGTTCCTTTCATTTTTGTTGTCACATTACCAGCCTGCGTATGGATTCGAAGTGTCTCCGTCACCTGGTGAATGTTTTCAAGAAGGTGCGGATTAGCAAACACATCGACTGTGGATTGGTTGTCCAGAAGGATCCACGATAATGGGATTCCCTCGTTTTTGTGGACTGACTGTACGACGGCGGACAAGAAGCAATGTTCAATGCGCTCTGACTCACCGATTTCGACTGCGTCGAGTAGGAATTGTGCTTCGTCAATATCCGTACCGATCGCGGTGCCATCAGTCACATTCGCGTGGGCTTGTTCATCGTTGTTGTTGTTGTTGTTGTTGTTGTTGTTTCGGGCTCCTCGACGTCGATTTCGATTGTTGGGTACCCCTTCTGAGTCGGTTGCGAATGACACCCCGTCCTGATGTTGTCCGCGATTATTCGCGTTGGATTCTGATTTCCACTGAACCATTTTGTTGTATGCACCAGATAGTGTTTTGGGCCACTGGTCATTGCCAGCCACGTGCTGGTTTTCGAAGAAGGTAAGCATGCTGCCATGTCTTCCCCTGTCTGCACCGAGCAATAAGCCCATGGATAGCATTCTTTCTTTTGTTGTGTTGAGCACGGTTGTCATTTGATCATCCGTGAGGTTTGCTCGAACGAGATTTGAGTCGGCACAAACGATGTCAACTAGTCCGTTTTCCAGGCCAATCGATCCACCACATTGTTGCACGACCTCAACTTGGTTCCTGAATTTTTCATAGTATGCGGCATCAGTTTCGTGTTTGCCTTGTCTGAGCGAGTATAGTCGTCTCTTGGCTTCATGAATGGATTGTGCACGGTATTTCTGATCCTGATAGTTGAAGCATATGCCCCGTATGAGACGGAGTAACCTGATGCCATCACGGGCATCGGACACAGCTGTGAACTCGGTATGTCCCTCAATTCGTGCAACCATTGCATCGGAGCATTGTCCGATGACTAAAGCGTATAGCTGTTGGACCTGGTTGTCCACTGTCTTTCTATCCTTGATGACTTCCTTGACTTCCTGTTCCCACATGTACTTCTTTGTTGGGTCGCATTGTGGAGTCCCATAGTGATCTGGGGCGTCTGGTGCATCAATCGTAGGTTGTTCAAGCCTTTCCACGGCTTTTGACATCACTCCACCCTGTGAATATTTGCTCCCAACATAGATGGAGAGTTGCTCAAGGGTTTTGGTGAATACGTCGGTTTGGCTGTATCCGGAGCAGTCGAAGATATGACCTTTCAGATCATCACAACTCCCAATGAATCTTCCTTGACGCGGTGGGTTGTTTCTTCGATTGCCATAGCCTCCTCTTCCTCCACGGTTCGTATCACCGCTGGATCTTGCTCCGTCAGGTGGCGCTGCGGAGCTCATATTGGCACTAAGGTGTACTATAGACGCGGATCACCGCAGTCGACACTCCTTCAGTGCAGGTAATCTTTATAGACTGTTGAATTCACTAGCTTTCCCAAGTTTTCCAAGTACCCTTCAGGTAACTAGATAAAGACTTGGTCTACTAGGAAGGTTGAATTGCATAAAAACCAGAGTCTATAAAGATTATGAATACTACCACGATTGGTGGTAGTAAAACTAGATTTGGGAGTCTGGCCCTCAGTCCTGGAACCTCCAACCTTATCCAACAGAGATGTGGAATCTATCAGAAAGGAACTCGTTGTTATCTTGAAGCAGCACTGCCCCGCAGCACTGAAAGCAATAGATCGTCTACTAGAGAATCATGCAGGTAGAGAAGAAGATTTGTTGCGAGAAGCAAAAGAAAAGTTCTTGAAAAGAGGAAACGGAAAAAAGGAAGGGATACACTGGCCCAGCGAAGACTTTCAGTGGAAATTTACCTTGAAATATTTTCCTATGAAGCAAGATGGCAAAAAGCAAAAACGAGTCTGGGCTACGGATGAGTCACTCAAGAAAATCCAACCTGTACTCGAGGAACGTGCCAACGCTATCGGTGGCGAGTGCAAAATGGAAGTATTGTGCAGTGGACAGCGAACTTACGTCGTACAAAGAAACCGAAGCGCTGTGCTTCAGGATAAAGGCACCGTGACCGCAACCGTCGAAGCCATGCGGCAATTGGTACACAAACGGTACAAAGTCAAGGAAGGGCGTCCCTGCGATGTAGGAAACGAGCACGAACGAAGGAAGCTGGAAAAAGAACGCGATCAGAATCGTAAGCGAGGAAAAGAAAAGAGGAACTCGGGCAAATACTAGCTAGACCACAAAAATGAAATCGCGGAGTTGCAGGAAGGCGAAGGAACGTAGCTGCTAAACAATGTTTGAATGGGAAAAGCGGACTTCACGGAGCGCCTCTTGTCAAAAGAAGTATACGAGAGATTTCAGCAGAGGCAGTGCTGGTAAACTCTTCAAATCTATCTTATCATGATGATTGTACCAGTCCGCACCAGAAGCTATTACAGGGGCAGAGGGTACTTGTCCTTCAATTGTTGAATGTACTTGACCAGTTCAGCATTTGGACTGCCTGCTGGACGGTCGTAGTACCTTTGTTCCGTTATTTCAGGGCACAGCATGTACTGCATGAGCTGGTGTATCTTGTGACAGCTCACAACGGGACACCGTACCAATGGCTCTGTACAGTTGTTTTCTTTGGTTGGATACCCTCGCCTCAGGCGCTTTCGAAATTTGGCCAAGGCCACATCGTTGGTATCATCCTTGCCGATATGCCCGTGCCGGATGGTCGCTTGCCGGCTAGATTCGATTTCCATGGGAAAGCATCGCGAATGCAAATGGAACATGCCGAGTGCTGTGAATTGAGGGGTTTGATCCGTAAAGGGAGACAATGTTGCCCCAGAGTGTGATCCCAAGTCGACCCAATCAAATGTACGTGAATCAAAGATGACTTTAAAGTCCACTGGAGCAGCTTCGGAATAACCAAGTTGGGCCGGATCATTTGGTTTGCTTTCACTTTGGCAAGTTTCTTGGTCAGGTACCGAATAGGAAACAAACCCAACCTTTAACTTGCTTCCGTCCAGAGGAAGAGAGCTGCCGTCAAGGTACTCCTGTACGCCATATGGGGTCAGACGGCATGACTCATTCAAGTCTGTTGTTGATTGGATTCGGAGAGAACCATGATCCGGACATGCGGGTGTGTTTGGAACCACGGCGAGAAACTCATCCGTATCCACTTTGATCATAAGATCCGAAGCGACACTGATGGAGTTCATAACGTGATAGATATCCCCAATGACGCCATTCAAGTCCTTGTCCGAGAAAATGACATTGATATTGTATTGGTCTTTGACTTGCTTGAGAAAGTTGACGCAGCGGCTGTCACTACTGCTGTCAATAATGTACAAATTTTCAAATCCCAGCATTTCCCCATGATAAAAAGTCCACCAAGCAATCAAAGGCCACTCATTCATGGTCATCAAGACTAGCTTCATGGTCCGTGAGTTTGGTCGTTGTGTTTGGTATGTGCTTTTGTTGTTGTTGTTGTGTCCTTGCAACAACCATGAGTTCCAAACGTCATTGGCATTCGCGCCACTGCCAGCATCCAAGAGGGCTTGTCTGTAACTGGTTTGATTGGCGCCACCAACGTTATACACAGGACCACATTCAAAGTCTTGGTTGTGGAGCGTGCAATTTTTGTGTCGCTTGACTAGTCTGGAAGGAGTGATGGTAGGATGAGAAATGTTTTTGGATACCTCGATGGTAGCTGCGCTCTGAGCCCTTCTTGCGTGTTCCATTTCACGAGGGAAGAATATCAGCATGCAACCAGCAAGGATCCCCAAGGGAAGCAAAGCAAGGTGACGACGTGGTGTACTGGTAATGGTTCTAGCTTGACCAACTTTGGTATAGATTCGGCGTGGCATCTTGACGGCTAATGAGAGTTTTGCTTCGTGAACATCAGGTGATTGATGATAGATAAATACGGTAGGATACCAATGCTGAATATAAAATCTCACGTCTGGATCTCTTCCTTGTTCAGACTTTCGCTGTTCATCTAGCTAGCTAGCTAGCTAGCTATTAGATGAACGATATTGTATGCTTGAGGTTGGAAGCAATGATTGATCTGCGGTTGGACGTTTTTCGACGAAATTTGCTCTCCAACCGACAAATTGTGAGAGCAGGTTTACCTCTGTAAGCCAGCTAAATGGCTTGATGAAACATGCGCTTTCAGGCACCACAACTGAGAAAAACTCGTGGTTTTGATGACTGAACAACTAACTGTGGCGCATTTGGTTTTGAGCAAGCAACTTCCACTAGCATAGCCGGGAGCAAGATCTAGCTGGCTCATTCATGGAGCAAGCTTTGCCCGATTTGTAGGCTCCTTCATAAGCCATAATGATGCTGACTACAGCACCACCCATGCCAATGTAGAATCAATATTTGTTCCAACAGCCTGGCCATGGCCCCAGCACTGGAATTCCATACACAGGCAGGCATCAGCACCACAGCTGTTGACCCCAACACTGCAATACCACAATGACTAGCCCAGCACTGGATTTCTCAGAACAAGCATCCGCCCTGCACTGGATTTCCCATAGCATCTGTCCCCTTCACTGCAACCCCTAGCTAGGTTGGATGGCCGCAGCACTAGATTTCCACAATAGCAAACTCTGGCTCTGCAATGCCCACTTTTGTGGCTCCAGCCAGCACTGGATTTCTCACACCTGTTGGCCCCAGCACTGCAATCACTATAAGTGCTATACCTGGCCCTGGAAACTGCGATGCCTACTACTACAGCTAGCTGTAGCGCCAGCACTGGATTTTCCACAGTGGTTGCCCCCAGCAATGGATTTCTCACAACTGTTGGCCCCAGCACTAGCGAGAAGGAGAATGGAGCGAATTGAGCAAAACTATACGGTAGCTAGCTAACCAATCGAATTTATTTATGCCTGCAACGGAATGAATGAATCATTGGATTCATTCAATCTGAAACCAAATAAATAGCCCCCATCAAATCCATTCCGAGGCAAGAAAAATTGGTTCTACTTGAATGAGCTTGGACTGAGTCCGTACGGTAGCACAAATCCAATCCTGCCGAGATGTTGATTGTAACTTGGTTTTGTCGTTGGTAACGACCACGATGGATTCAAATCTGCAACATTCGGTACTTTGGCTGAAACACCACATGGTACCATCCAAACGGGGTCTTTCAAGCCATGGAAAGAAAGCTGAAACCAGCTTCTCTTGGGGTTGTCACCCTTGATTCTTAATGGGTGTCACAACACACCCACAAGATCCTTTCGTTTTTCAAGGAGATACTCCAACAAGTCATAATCCAGTTGATTGTGTTTTCTGATCACTTGTAGATCTTCTTCCTTCGGAGCCGCAACCTGATTTTCCTGTTTGTACTTCTTGTCGGAATGACCTCTATGCGGCATTTTGACCTCTGGAGCTCCCAATACATGGCTCAACCATGTGGTATAATTGGGATCACTCATGCGGTTGCTTTGGACAATGAGATCAAAATCGTGTTCCAGTGCATGTTTGGCTTTTGTGAGATTGGCGGGAAAGTGGTTGCCAAACAGGCGGGCCATGCAATTTTGTACACACGACCAGGAAAACCAATGATCTTGTCCAATCAGCTTAGGTGGAGCCGTTGTGTTGATGAACTCTACCCAATCCATGAAACTGGTATCGGGATTTGTCAAGTTGATGCTTCCTTCGCCCCAATATTCGGATACAATCCTGGCCACGGGATCCTTGAGCATGGTCACCACCAGCGTTCTTTCTTCCAGAATTCCTCGGTAGCAATAGCCTTCTTCCACTTTGAAGGAGACGTTGTGGTGTTTGGCAATATTCTCAAAATAGATTCGAAGGGTGGTCCCACCGGCTTTTCGAAGGTGCCACAGATGAATGGCTTCATACTGGCTCATATCAAAGGGCTCTATAGATGGCAGCGGTAATGCCAAAATGTCGATTGGCTTTTTCGTTTGGTTGGTGTTGGTCACGTTGCTACCTTTGGTCTTGACCGTGCCGCCAAGATTTCCCACTAGAATCGATGTAGTGCCGTCGCGGGTAAATAATGCAAATGCACCTCCAATCACAATGCCAAGAAAGATTAGCACCCAACGGGTCAAGTGCACCGTCGGAACTGCTTCTTCTGCCTCTTCGCCATTCTCCGCTTTGGGCAACGATGCCTCCAAAAACTTGCGTCGGGCAGGGAGGCTATGCTTGGTCCGAGCCATGGTGCCTTATATTACGGTAGCAGATGCTGTTGTCCATGGGGGTTTGTTTGTGGTTGGATGCCATGGAGCGACGGCATCGACATGGCGCATCCCTCCAAAAAATTTGAGCAAACGCGGTTACCGTACCTGTACTGCCTCTAACACTATTGCTAGTAGAGATGCACACTTGCCTCGAAATTAAGATTGGATTCGATTGGATTGTTTCTCTTGCAGTTCTCGTGGAGCGTGGAGCTCTAGTAGCGTGGAGCTGGAGTGGAGGCAAGCAGGCATAAGCGGAAAGTGTATTGTTGCATCACAAGAGCGAAGAAAGGATAATCATTGGTACTCGTCCAGTACCGACGATCGATAGAGGGTGTTGAATCGAAGAATCCAAGACCATGACAGTGTTGGTAGATCATGCCTCTGAAGACTTTCGTCGTTTGTGCAATCGATTGCAAGAGAATGACGAAGATCTGGACGCAGTCACCGCTGTTTTGATTCCACGAATGCGAGAGGACGACTTTTTCCTTCTAGTCCAAAGACTCGCCGCCAACACAACAGTGCAAGACCTGTGGATTATGTTTACTGCACCCTTGTCCAGGGCCCAGTTTCAGGCTCTGGGTAGAGTGTTTATAAATAACACGCAGATCATGGGTTTCCGACTCATATGCAACCCTCGGGTTGAGGCAATCGATATGAGACCGCTCTGGGAGGGCCTCTTTCAGTCAAAGGCACTCAAAAAGCTCCTTCTGGGTGGTTTTCAGACGCGACATATTGCTATTGTAACTTTCCTCGCTGGATGGAATGGATTCACCCAACCGAATGATGGTACTACTCCAGGAATCGATCTATCCAATTGCTTCATTGGGACACTGGAAACCGATGCCATTGTAAAAATGCTCCAAAAAGAAGACATGAACAATTTCCGCTTTCACATCTACAAATGCCAATTTGATTTGCCTGAAAACAGCACCGATCCGCGAAAACATATCGCCGAAGCCTTCGCACACAATACCACGGTCAAGAGTTTCAACTTCAGAGGTTCTCTCGGAGACTCAACTTGTGCCCGGGCCTTTGGTAGTGCCATTGCAGTCAACAAGACTCTTTGTAGGGTCTCCTTTAAGGAGTGCGGTGACCTGGCAGTGCCACTTATCACTCAGGGCATTGTTCAGAACCACAGACTCCTCGCTGCCCAAGTCCAAGGCAGCTCCACTCCTCCTTCCGTCCAAATACAAGAATGTCAACGACAAATCAATCATTCCATTGAATTGAACCGTACTGGACGATATCACATGTACGATTGTGCACACCAAGGTGGAGAGATGGAGCTAGATTCGACATGGCTTCGCTTTCTCATTGGTTGTCGTAGCAAAGAACACGCCATCATCTATTCTTGGTTGCGAGACTATGTTGACATCTTTGCGAGATTGGCACTGAGTGGTTTGGCTGGCCAGAAACAAAAATCAAACGCCAGAAAGGAAGACGATGGCAGAGGACCCAGCAAGAGGGCCAAGACAGGCTCGAGCTGACAGCAGGCTGAGTACTATTCGAGCCTGACAAAACTTTTCACATCCACAAGAGGACCATGGAACCGCCACTTCCCAAAAAAGAACATATACACATGGAGTTGGTGTCTGCATAGCAGACTGTAAACAAATCATCAACAATGAAGAGCACTTTGTTGAGTGCTGCTCGAGTAATAGCTAGGGGCAAACCTTTGAGTTCCCTTTTAAGACAGGCATGCTTGTAATGAGGGAAGTGACAACGGCAGCTTGCAAGCTCACCCGAGGTTGAGGACGGGGTTGAAGCTAATTCCCTAACAGATAAAAATAACAATAATGCAATAGAAATAAGGGACGTCCAACACACTCCTGTCGTTGCTGCTATTATCTAGAATGAGCCCAAAAGTAGCTAAATCGGTCATCATACCAACCGCCGCTCCATCCAGTACCGGTACCCCCATTGCTCAATCGTGGTTGAAAGTGTCATTTTCTTAGTCGCGTGAACGACGATACCGGTATGCATACTGTTGTAGGCGGGCCCTGTAAACTTTTATACGGCTCTCCTGGCTCACAGAAGTATAGAAGACATATTCCTCTCTGGAGATGCACACTTGCCGCTATTAATATCGGTGGTTTGGGCTTCTTCTGGTGGCAAGCGGCAAGCAGCCCCACTCAGCCTGTGAGAACCAAGGTTACAGTACAGTAGTCAATGACCATACTGAGGACGTGGAATCATCCAAAACCATGACAGTGTTGGTAGATCATGCCTCTGAAGACTTTCGTCGTTTGTGCAATCGATTGGAAGAGAATGACGAAGGTCTGGCCGAAATCACCGCTGTTTTGATTCCACGAATGCAAGAGGACGACTTTTTCCTTCTAGTCCAAAGACTCGCCGCCAACACAACAGTGCAAGACCTGTCAATTATCTTTATGACACCCTTGTCCTCGGCTCAGTTTCAGGCTCTGGGTAGAGTGTTTATAAATAACACAAAAATCACGGATTTCCTACTCATATGCAACCCTAGGGTTGAGGCAATCGATATGAGACCGCTCTGGGAGGGCCTCTTGCAGTCAAAGGCACTCAAAAATATCTCAATGAACGGTTTTCAGACGCAACATAATGCTATTGGAACCTTCCTTTCTGGATGGAATGGATTCACTCAACCGAATGATGGTACTACTCCAGGAATCCATCTATCCAATTGTTTCATTGGAACACTCGAAACCGACGCCATTGTAACAATGCTGCAAAAAGAAGACATGATCAAATTTCAATTTTACATCTACAATTGCCAATTTGACTTGCCTGAAAACAGCACGGATCCGCGACAACGAATCGCCAAAGCCTTGGCACACAATACCACGGTCAAGAGTTTCGACTTCAGAGGTTCTCTTGAAGACCATCACTCAGCTTGTGCCCAGTCGTTTGGTCATGCAATGGCGGTCAACAAAACTCTTCATTCTGTCGGCTTTGTGGATTGTGGTGACCTGGCAGTGCCACTTATCACTCAGGGCATTGTTCAGAACCACAGACTCGCCTCTGCCAAAGTCAAGGGCAGCTCCCTTCCTCCCTCCGTCCAAATCCAAGAATGTCAACGACAAATCAATCATTCCATTGAAATGAACCGTGCCGGACGATATTTTATGTACGATTGTGCAAGCCAAGATGGAGAGATGGAGCTAGATTCGACATGGCTTCGCTTGCTCATTCAAAATATTGGTGAAAAACACGCCATCATCTATTCTTGGTTGCGAGACTATGTTGATATCTTTACACGATTGGCAATGTGTGGTATGGCTGGCCAGAAGCGAAGAGCAACTGCCAGCAATAAGGGAGATGATGGCAGAGGGCCCAGCAAAAGGGCCAAAACAGGCTCGAGCTGAAAGACTGATTACTATTCGAGCACAAGGAGACTTTTGACACCCACAGGAGGACAACGGAACCACCACTTCCACTACACAAGAAGAGCCATTGCTTGGCAGAATGTAAACAGCAAGACATCACCAGCTACAAGGAGCAACTTGGTTAAGTGTTGCTCGTGTACTACTAGGGAACCTCAGAGCATCCGGTTGCAGTGATGTGTGTACCTGACAGTTTGTAATAAAGGAAAGTGACAACTGCAGCCGGCAAGCTCATCCGACCCGAGGTTGAGCGACGTGGTTTCTTTTGTCTTGACAGGCAGTATCAATAAGCATAAATCTATAAGTTACTAAACTCTACCGTAGCAGAAGAATGCGTGTGCTCAGTATTCAATGAGCATGGTTACTACCATTTGATGTCGGCCAAGCTAGCCGAAAACTTCTTGTCTTGGGGATCCAAGGGTTTGGAATCCTTCTTGCCAGCAGCATTCTCGGCAGTGTCAACATGATGGGCCGTACTGGAGAGCCTCTTGCGAGCGTCCAAACTGTGCCGCCGACGTGTTTGTCCTCGGTCTCCGCGGCTCTCTCTTTTACCTGCTTCACTGCGACCTCGAGTGCTGGAACGGTGCTTCTTGGTACCGTCGCGACCTCGAGTGCTGCTGGGTCGATGCTTGTGTTTTTCGTCACTGCCGCCAGACTTGTTGGAGGACTTTTTGGGCTTTCGGTCCACGCTGCGCTTTTCTTTGCCGGATCGAGGCTGCCGTTTTCGAGATTCCTTGTTGTGATCTCGACCTCCTTCCTCGCGACGCGAATCCTTGTTGCTACTGGCAACAACATCCGACGGCTCTGCAGCCGCTTTCGCGTCGGCAACAGGATCTCCGGCAGGCTCCCCAATTTGAGGAGCCTCGCGGTTGCCGCTGCCACTGCCTTCTCGTTCCTCGTTGGCGTCACCATCCTGCGTCCTAGCGGATGTATCTACCGGTACTTGCTCTTCCTCTGCTGCTGCTGTACTATGAGTCAAGTTCTCGGCAGACTCCTCGAATGCAGTGTTCGTACATGTAATGGCAGGCTCCGAAGCATTGCCCATGCTATCACGAGCCGAAATCTTGCGACGTCGGGTCCCGGTTTGATCCGACTTGCGTCGTGGGCTTTTTGTGCGACGGCGGCTGCTGCTCTTGGGTTTGCTGCGGCGTTGTTCCTTCTTGTCTCCCGCTGCAAGCCTCCGACTGCTTCCTTCCCGTCTCATTCCACTACTCGGCCGTGAGGAAGATCTCTTGCTGCTGCTGTGCTTCTCGTCTTCTGTCAAGCGTGTCTTGCTGCGTCGTCGCACCATTTTCCGTTCTGGTTTGGTGACAACCACAGGAGCACTTTCGGCATCCTCTCCTTCTTTGGCAGTGGTTGGCGACGCTAGCTTGGCAGGCACATTGTCACCAATCACCAACTGCAGGTAATCATGGGACCGTGCTCCTTCCACTTGTTGAAAACTTCCTTGTCCTGCTGTGACATCCAAGCTGACATTGGCCGAAACGGAATCTACCGTGTAAGCCGACGATGATGCCAGATGTGGCTGTTCGGCGCCGCTGCTGAAAATGTCCTTGAGAGACACTTCTTGATGATGGCGAGCCTCGTCGGCAGCGGCAAAGACGTCGCCATCATCATGGTCGTCGTCTTCGTCATGGTATTGGTGCTCGCCATCATCCTCCTCCATGGATCCAACACTCTGGTCAATGTCATCGGCAAAGGACTCATCGTCATCTTGTGCGAGCAATTCGAGTGCGCTAAAGGATGGTTCCTTGGCATGTTGCATGGCCAAACTCTGACGACTCCGTACTCGTTCCCGTAGCTTTCCATCTTGTTCTTTTTTCAATTTGCGGTTCGAGCTTTGAGGCGGATGATGATCGCCACCACCACTGGGTGCCCGCAATGGCATGGCCTTTGGTTCTGCAATGGCTGCTGTATCATCTGCCTCGAGCGCCGCAGCATGATCCAACAGTTGCCCTTCGGAACTGTGCAATCGATCGTTCGTGGTGGTCGTATGCACGGACAGGCGTCCCACTGACGACAATCGATCCGACACGGACATGCGATCCATGAAAGCACTGTCTTGTTGTTTGCTATTGCTATCGACCGACATGACACTGCCTCGCGACGAATGATCGGCCATGTGGCGTCGTCTCCGTCGATTGGCCGACGATCGATAACGTTCTTCCCGTTGCCGGGAGTGTCTCTTGAGTCGTTCGCGGGCTTGCGGATCCAACTTTGGCTTGGACTTGCTGCGACGTTCTTCGGTCCCGACACTGAAATGTTCCAGTTCGGCCGCCGAGGGTTGACTTGTCGTGGAGGATGTCAACAAGTAGTCACCAATATTCGTGTTTCGTTTGGCCACGCGTTTGCGTCTCCGTTGTTTGGCTTGTTCATTTTCGTGAAAGACTGATTTGGCCACATGCAATTGTGCCACGCCTTGATCCAACAAGTCTTGATTGGGTTGTTCTTCGACGGGTTTTGCGTACTTCGTGTCGGCCATGCTCTTGAGTGGCGGCAAGGAATCTTGTGCGTTGGAAAAGGTGGTACTGGTGTCGTCTTCGAGTAGTATTACGTTGTTGCGATTGGTGCTGACTTTGCCGAGATTCTTGAGTCCAATGATGCTGTTGCGCATGAGTTTGCGGGCTTTGCCTCCTAGTTTCTTTTGTTGTGGTTGTTGCGGTGTGTCATTGTCGTCGTGATGATCGTCGTCATTGTGCCGTCGCGAATGATCCACAATGTCGGATTCATCGATGCGCGATTGCTTCACGGATGACTTGAGTGATTGTTGCTGTTGTTGTTGTTTGGAGGAAGTATGATGAGCGGAAGTACTACTCAAGTCGAGCGGATTGACAACGAGGTTTTTCAAGGCGGATATTTTGATTTTGCCTCGTAGAAACTTGTTCATGCTGCTGGTTGGAGGAGGTTGCTGTTGTTGGCTATTGTGGAGTGAATGAGATGTTTGTGACAGAGACTGTTGTTGTTGTTGTGGTACGCCATTGGGAGCATAGCCAGTGCCAGTCTGCATTTGAATGGGAGCGGACGTCGGGTACTTGAGGGGACCGACAGCCGAAGCCACGGGTGACAGCGGAGACGCTGCGGCTGCTTCTTTGTAGTAAATGTTGGGATCGGAACCCACCATGAGGGACAAATCTTGTGGTGGTGCTTGTTGGGAGTTGTTGTGGGTACTGCTAGCAGTAGTACTACCGGAAACACCGGCCCAGTCCTCGGCTCCTCGGGGACTGTCGTGTCGTTTGACGGATCGTTGTCTCTGGTGTCCATCATGAGCTTCTTCTCCTTGCTCTTCTTCCTCCAATGCCTTTTGTTGCTTGATATGAAGCGACGTTCGCAACCCAGATGCAGATTCGGTGAGATCCATGGAGCCTTCATTGTTGTTGTTGTTGTCCACTACACGAGGCACCGTCGCCAGATCATCAATGTTCAATTCCTCTTCATCTTCGCCGTCTCGAATGTTGTCTTCTCGCGCTTCGGGTCGCTTGTCTTCTGGACCCATTGCCACTACGGGCCGTGCACTCGACAGACCTCCCAACATCATGCCGCGAATGCCGCTCTTTAGAGTTTTGAGGTTCTTGTTCAGCTTTTGCTGCCCTTGGACGCTTGTAGATGCGCTCATCTTTCTCGTATCGTAAGCTCTTGTTGAGTGGACGGAATGCAATCGTTCTGGTTTTGCTGCACTTCCTACGCGATAGAAGCTGGCGGCTTTGTGTAACTGGTACACTTCACTTCACCTAAACTACGGGAATCGAATCAACGGAAAGGATTCGATTCGATTGAAGGTGCTATGGGTGATCCGTCAATTGGATTGAAGCTCTAGCCAGTTGTTGTTTCGCTCACACTACTACTACTACTGGTATAAATATCGACAACAGCTTGCCATGTTCATGTCTATCGATCGATCGATGGATGGTACGGTACTGCTATAAGAAAGATAGATGAGCAGTCAATGATTCGATTCATTCATCAAACACAGTTACTTGTCTTTGTACATCAACGCTGAGGCGTGTAGCATTCGCACAGTTCGCACTGTGTACAGCAAGCACCAGGTTCACATCGCTTCCTGCATCTCCACGCCTTTTCTACTCGTATTTTCGCGACCCTGTTGTAAAAAGCTTTTGCAACAGCAGAACTTACACGCATCGTTCGAGTTCCTTGCATCCGAATACACATTTTGAAGATTGATGCAGTTCTACTTTGGTGTTTAGAAACTATAGTATTACATGTATTGCTCAAAAAATTTATGTTCCATGCATGCGTACAACACCTGAAAGACAGAGGGTACTGGTAGCAAGGATCAAGGAAATCTGTGAAGGAGGAACAACTCGTAATCTGGGAGACGTTGCGCCCTCCTCGATCGAGTTACCGGTACGGTATAATTCAGAGATGACTACATGTAGCCATCATAACAGCAATCTATCCAATGGCCACCAAAACTTTGAGAAACAGAAAAGATTTTGAGAACGAGCCAACTTTTTAGCAAAAAGAGGAAACTAGGTTCTGACTCTTTTGTTGCCGTACGTACCGGTAGCTAGGAGGTACCTACCAGGTGAAACCATGAGTCTTCCTCGCTTACCTGGCAAGTTGAATACTCAAACTACACTGCTTGCTTCAGCAGGGAAAAGGATGCCGCAGGGCGCGCGAAGTACTGTATTGCGCGTCAGCTCCCTTTGCAAAAACATGTAAGGTAATTAGTCTGCGCTTCCGTCGCACAACTGAGCGGAAACTTAACCCAAATCCATGTCAGTAGCAAGACCGGCAATTATCATAGCTAGCTACTACCGTAGCCAAAGGGTGCCAAAAAAGCTAGCAAGCAAGCAATTGGTGAGGTGAGCTTCCGCTCATTGTCATAGTATCTAATAGTCAAGGTATAAGGTATGTTCTGACCGTTGCGCACCAGTTCCACAGTGTTGTGCCTCGGAGTACTACCTAGTCACGTTTTTGCTGGTACGTACTTGAATGCTCTCGACGTTACTCACAGCTCACAGTAGAGTCGAGTCTGGTACCGGGAGCTTTACTCTCTCCTATGCATACTAACACGCCCAATTTGAAAATGGGATCTTTCGTAGAAAGGAATACGCGACATCTTAAAAGAAAGTGTCAATGCAAACAGCCTCTATTAAGAACAGCGTTCGTTTGTTATATGGCAGCTTGCACGTGAGCTATCGAGCTTACAACAGTTCATTCATTAAGCCTGGAAAGGGGGAAAGGGGGCATAAGAAGGAGAATGTTTAAGTCCCGGAGGCTATTGTCTTTATACAGGCTAACTCTTCCTTTACCTTTCCACTTTCCACAATGCATCCTGAACGAAAAAGAGATGCCAGGGAAGTCCTGTCATGGCAGTTATTTTTCTCCGTCATAGTCTTATTGCTTTGTAGAGATGAGTTTTAAGAGGGCTGTGACCTGTGAGATGCTAAAAGAGACGACACTGCTGTTGTTGCCTTCAGAAAATGCTGCTGTAGCTATTGGGCCCAGGTCATCATCAGTGGGTTGCCCGTAATAGGAGAGCAACTGAGATATTGGGCCCAGGTCATCATCAGTGGGTTGCCCGTAATAGGACAGCAACTGAGATGATGACTTGCGTCTCACTTTTTCTTCAGTTGTAACCACGAATCTGACTGAAATGTTCAAATGTTTCACGGCGAACACTACTGGCTGATGGCTGATAGCTTCCTGTTGGAAGCATCTACGGTGGTCAAGGGCAACCTGCGTCATGACTCTCATCTCCCCAGCTCAGAGGGAGCAGGATCTATCTACTCCAGAGGAGTTTCGCTCACCCGCCTTTCCTGCTTTCCTGTCTGCCAGTTGTAAAAACAAGCGACAAGATGGCTTAGATTGAACCAGCAGCTGCTTGTCTGCTCGCTATGACTCTGGCTGCAGGTTTGATTCGACTGTAGTCTACGGTATGTACAATCGCCATTCCTGCCTCCTCCAACATCCCTGCAAGCGTCCGCTTGAGCGTATTAGGACGAGCGTTGAACCTTCGACTTCCGATGCGTCTACAATGTACAGTAGTCTAGATCTACCGGCCGAGTAATGATCCGATGACCTTCGTTGACTAGGTGGTTTGACACGGAAGTTACTTTATGTTTTGGTTGTGGATACCGGTATGGTACCGGTAGTGGGTAGCAGGAAATTTGGTCATTGGAGCATTGGAGCTTGAGACGTGGCAGATTATGTTGTAACTCTGGAAAGACAGAAAAGTCTACGATGTACAATGTCATGCAGGTGGCTGCTAGCCAGAGCCAAGAACACAGACTAGTGAAATCTGAGCTGTAACAGTTCAGTCACTGTTTGCTATGATTGTATGAATCGATTTACTCACCTTTAAATCATTATTGGCAAATGCACTGCCGTGGCTTTAGTGGCTGGCTGTCCTTCTTGAGCGGCTCCTTTGTGAGCAACCAACGTCGCAGCCAATCCGCACCAGCGCGCTTTGACAGCATGTAGATACCGGTATGGTACCGGTATGCTCTGGACATGCTGGAAGCACCGCTGCAGGCAGCACTTTTAAAATAAACCTCGCATACATTATTGGTTGCTTGGCTGGCTACTCGGACTCTGCGCTGGCCATGGCATTGTCCCGATTCTTGTATGATTCGATTCTTCAGCCAGTCGGTTCTCCTGATCCTGATTATGCTACTAGCTAGTACTAGTATTAAATAGTACCGGAAAGTCTTTGGTGGCTCTTGGATGTGCTTCCATTCCTCCGTATAGAGGCACGGTAAACTCCAGCACTCCTACTTGTAGAGAGTTCATGGCAAGTACATGTAGCGGGCGAAGGTGCTCAAGTTGGCTTTGCTACGACTCGACTCGACTTGACTCCCAGACTTGTGTAGCTCTTGTGCAGTGACTGACATGCGTGTGGGACGGGTTGTGTCTTGATGGCGACCGTGCTCTTCGCGTGAATTCTTTACCGTATATATGAAAGAAAGAACCAGTGGGTCACTTCAGCTCGAGTACCGTACTCTTAGGAGGGTGGTAAAAGCGTCTTCTGCGAACAAGATTCAAGAAGGGACTTACTTAAAGTAGAGGTACAGAAGGAAACCCGTGATTAAGATCTTGTGACAAATATGGAGTCTTTGACATTTATTTGAACTGTCTGGGAAGTTCTTTTGTGTACTAAAAGCGCTAAAGTGACTTCTAAAAGCTCGTCCAAAGCAACATACAGTTTCCAAAAGGGCGAATTCCAGAGTTGCCACAATTTTTCAAGTGCCATCAACAACAAACAAGTCCAACAACCGAAAGATGCTGGCATAATAACCAGCAACTGGATCATCATCAATGCATAGCATCTCATCCATAGCTACGCCCTGAGTTAGCCGCATTTCCTGTGCAGGCTCAGCGCTGACACAAGAATAGATTGTTAGCATTTATTACTAATAGCTGTTACTAGAGTACCGGTGAGCTGGTCAGCTTTAATTCCCACACAAGGGTTTCTTTGGCAACTCACAAAACAATTCGAACGGCTGTCTCATCCCATCCCACAATTTCTACTGGATAGTTAGTTGGTGGTAAGCAACATGAATATTTCAGCTCCCGAACTGTCCGCTGTGCTGCCTTCCTCTCCGTCATTGGAGCAGCAGCAGACGCCGTTGTTGTTTGGGCGGCATGCACGGAGCAGCAGAGGCGGCAAGAGGAACAAGCATGAGACAACCACCGCGCTGATGGCTTCCATGCCAGAGATTGGCATCAGCACCGACATGGACAGCAGTGCCGCCACACCGTCCTTGGGAGTATCACTGGACAGAATCGTACCCACTCGAGCACGCGACGCCGCCGAGTTTGCTCCCTATTTGAATCCCAACACGACGACGTTGCCACACAGTGGCGGTAATGCCAAACGCAAGGGATTACGAGGCAAAGTGAAGGGTGCTCTACGAAGAATGGTGTCCAACGATGAGTCGGTGTTTTCCCGCACCAATCTGGTCTTTCGAGGAGGAGGAGACAATGAAAGCACCACCAGCCATCTCACCAACATTCACAGCACACATTCTGGAACGAGCATTCCCGTGGGAACCCACAACGACGCTGCTTTGGACAGTTCACCGCCACAACACAAACCCGACAGCAGCCCCGAAAAGGCAGCACCTCACAGCCCCAAGCAATCATCATCCAACAATCTCACCAAAAAGTTCATGGGTGCCAGTATGCGCCTATTCCTCAACACTGTGGCACCCATGAACTTGTCTCCCAAACCGGGTTCCAGTAGCGCAAAGGTTCGCCGGCATCAACGATTGGCGTCCATTGCCAGTACCACCTCTCTGGACGATATTCTCTTTGTCGATGACAACAATGATGCTGACGATGATGACGACGACGACGTCTACAAAGACTCGTCCTCGTCTAGTTCGGGAGAAGAAGAACGCAGCAAATCCCCGTCGATGCAACGGCGCCTCGAACGACGACGCAGAAACAAAAAGAAAATGTCCAAAGCCAAGGGACATGCATCCATGCCAGAACAGCAATCGGCCAACCCAAGACTGCGGCGGCGTCACAAACAACAGTATCGAAGGATGCGGACACCCACCACCATTACGCCCGCTGCCAGCAAAGAAGACGACACACATCATGATGCCTCCGATGCGCATACCGCCAAGACTGGAAACACCAACAAAACCACCAACAAAGCGCTGTCCAGGACAACCAGCAACAGCAGCTACAAACCAAGGGCTCGATCGGCTCCCAGATCTCGTTCTCAAAAGTTGATTCATGTGCAACAAGAGGATGCCGCGGTGCCAACGGTACCGGGCGATGCATTTCTCATGTCGGTGCTGGATGATATTCATGCCCGCAAGGCGGCGTCGGGAGAATTGCAAATTGTTCTGTCGGGCGAGGACAACAACCATAACTCCAAGGTAGAAGACGACCTTGACGACGACGATCAAGAAGCACTGCTTCCCAAGCGCATCAAAAAGACCAAGCAGAACAAGAGGAACAAAAAGCCAATTGCTCGCAAGAAACGAACCAAAAAGGAATCTCCAGAAGTCGCAAAGTCCGAAAAGAAGGAGACCAAACAAGAAGAGGCGCAAGTTTCCTTGTTGTCGGCACCAGAAGAAGAAGAGCAAGAAGAAGATGCCAAGAAGAACAAGGAAGATGGTGATTCCATTGGTCAAGCATTGCAAGACAGTGCACAGAATGGAAGCGATGACGAGGAAGAAGGAGGTTTGAGAGCAATGCTGCACAAGCGAGTAGTGCATCGCCATACGAGCGATTCCGTCAATGGATGGGGATCCAAATCGGGTCTGAGGGAGAGCTTTGTGAGTCAAGCGTCGTCCAAGGAGCTGGGTGATTTTGATGTTGACGACGACGGGGAGCAAGACGAGGACGACACTGAATCTGATGGCAGTGACGAGGCAGACGAAGAAGAAGACATGCCTCCCTACTTGGTCGCAATGATGGAACCTGAAGAACCTCAGGAGCAAGGGCATGTTGAGCCGCAATTTGTCAAAGAGGAAAGTAGCGACCAGAAAGCCGAAGGCGATTCGATCCTGCTGGAAATGGCACAAGAAGACTCCGTCACCCCTCTTGTCAATAAGAGTGGATCAGAACTCATGGCTGAGGTTGAAAAGTCTTTGAAAAACTTTGATATCAAGAAAGGCAAAGGGCTGCCCTTGACCGAGAAGGACGATTTGTTGCACAACTTCATGGTGACGACACAGGAAGACCATGCCATACAAGAAACGCCGTCGGCATTGACAGAAGAAGTGGAACCGTCGATTGATCCCGCGGAGCTCCTCCGGGACGCGGCCGAAGACTCGTTCACGGCGACGCCTGATTTCAAGTTTAGCTTCTCGAATGTGGTTGTGTCACAGAACACCGATGGTTCTCCTTCCTCGTTGGACGACACTGCCGTCTTCGATATCAAAGCCAAGGTGAAGAAAAGAGAAATGGAGAAGAAGAAGAAGCTTAAGCGCCCCTCCGGCCTTTTACGAGGTCAATCCATGTCTGATCTTCAAAAGGAAGAACGAAGGTCGGTTGACAACGCTGGGAAATTGGACGAGCTCCTGGATGGCACGGACTTCTTTGATGAGCTTCTGAACTCCTTGATGGCTACACCAACACAGCCGGGGTTTCCCGCAAGTCCTTATCCTCGCAAAATGCCTCTTCGTCGACCCACGTTGTTTTTGGAGCCCTCTAATGTGCCCATTGATGTGCCTCTCGCCGAAAGAAGCGTTGGCAGCGGGTCAAGACGAGGAAGGAGCCGGAGCTCTCGCAAGCGAAGCAGTACAACGAATGGAGATCACGCTGGACATGCTCGCAGCGGTGCCACCAAGATGAAGGATGGGAGCGGCAGACGAACAGAAGGAAGATCGAGACGAACAGAAGGCAGCACGAAACGAAAGACACACCGCAGACAAAACCTCAAGCAAAACAGCGACAGCCAACTTGGCGGTACAAGCAAGCGAGATCGCAGCAAGAGTAACAGTAAGCATATGAGTCGCAGTGAGAGTCAGCTCCCCGAAGCGCGGGAACGCAGCAGAAGCAGCAGCACAAGTAAACACGCAAAGCAACCAGCTGAAACGCGCGAACGGAGCAAAAGCCACAGTAGGAGAGACTCTGCAACCCACAAGGCCAAAAGAGAAGGGAGCCGAAGGCGACTCAGCACGAGTGAACGGCGTCTCGAGGCCAAGGAAGGGCGCGAACGGAGTCGAAGCACGAGCAAGGAGAGCCGTGAAAGCGATCAGGCGAAACGAAGCAGCAGCAACAGCAAGCGTTCAAAACATCGAGCAAGTCATCCCGGCAATCGAGAAACTCGCGAGAGGAGTAAGAGCAAGAGCAAACGATTGAACCATCGCCACCTTATGAACGACGGAAGCAGCAAGAGTCTTGGGAACAGGGACCTCCGAGAAGCAGGGGACCACCACAGATCCAACAGAAGGAATACTGAGCGTTTGCACCAAACTGCAAAGCACTTGAACCACAGAGAACGAAGCAGAAGTAAGAGCAAGAGCACGCGATCCGGGGGCGCATTAGCCAAGGGCCCGAGTATCAGTAGAAGCCAAACTCACAATGATTCGGAGCGTATTCGTCGGCGCAGAAGTCTAGAGGGTGTACGGCGAAGAAAAAGTGTTAGCAATCTTTCAGCGGATGCAAACCAGCTTCCCGCCAAGCAAGACAATGGCGAGAACTTGAGGAACGCAAGTACTAGCCTTGAACCGGGAAAGCAACTTGACCGAAAGGAAAGGAGAGCGAGTAGACGGGAGCCAACCTCGCGTAGAAAAGCCAGCGAAAGGATGCACAAGAGCGCAGGGAACCTTGACTTCCGTCGTACCTTGGACGAAGAGGATATCGTCGCTAGAGACAGCAAGACGAAGAAGAAGGCCACCATGAGAAGGCAGGTCAGCGATAGCACGCTTGTTGTGCACGACAAGACCAAAGCCGAAATAACGATTACGGCCGAAGCTGCTGTGAGGGGTGGAACTAGAAAAAGCCGTAGAGGCCACGAAAGCCACGGCGATGGCAGCGCACGTCTCCATCGAACTAAACAACATGTTGCTTCTGACAAGAAGCCCGACGATCACGAATTGGACGTGTCCATGGCGGATGGCAGCCAGAGCACCCAAATAGCGAGCAACGTGGAACCAGTTCCTAAAAGCTCCTCAAGGAGTCGCAGCCACAGTACCGAACGCAGCGAGAGGAGACTTGCCAGTCACAAGGCGATTGCTCACATTAACGCCGCTGAGAACAAGGACGACGCTATCGTGGAGATCCAAGGCGACTTGATTTCGTCAGAGCTCGCCAACGAACCAGTCCGCACTTCCAATCAGGAGAGCAACAGGACCAGCAAGGGTGATAAACAAAAGACCCGAAAAACCCAAAGCAGCAGACCCAGGAGCCAAAGCCGAGAGCATTCCTTCAGAAATCACACTGGTGGCACCCGTGAGCACTCGAGAAGAAGCTCCACAGGGAGGGACAAAGAAAGCAGAGGAAAGCCTTCTCGGGACGGAGAAGATGCTGCCACGGGGCGGTTGCAAGGCAACAAGCGCACGGACTCGGACCGCTTCAAGAGTAGTGGAAGTCGTGGCCAGAGTCAGGATCGCAAGACAAGAAACACGGAAAATACTGGTGGAAAGCCAAAGCCCCGTATGTCCAGTACCCAAAAACTTCGACAAAGTCATAGTGAGCGTCCTACACGAACCATTGACAAAGCGATTGTGGCTTCCGGTCACTCTTCCTCGTCCAGCGAGCGACAAGACCGCCGAGTCAGTTTTGATCCCGACACGATGGACGCATCAGCAATTGCTGCAACGAGTGGCGAAGTGAAGGGGATCCTGAAGAAGAACAAAGTTGTGTCGCGGAAGTTCTTTCATGATGGAAGGAAAGTCTTGCCTGCTTCCGCTCCAAGCTCGCAGGCATCAGATTCTTCGAATGACCATCATCATCATCCGCGAACCTAAGTTGGCCAAGCCATTGCTCTGGTTTCTTGCTAGACAGTATTTTAAAAGTCAACAAGATACCTAATAACTAGATAGATACAAACACTGTTATGCATATTCTTCTATCTTTAGTTTATCCCAATTTAGTTTGTCTATGTTTTCTTTCAAAATCCAACTGCAATCAATTGGAGAAAGCGCCTTTAATACCCACTGAAGGTGTAGTTGCTGGTTGTGGGAGTGGGTAGCACGTCCACAAAAACGGGAACTGGAATCAGTTCTGGCTGCCCGGCAATCGTGTCTCTTCCAATGGCACCCAATCCAAGGGCACGCCGGAGCTTTCGGCTCAGAGTACTGCCGAGTGCTACTGCTCTCGGAATCACCCCCGTGATGGGGGCGTACCAGGCAAACAGGGCAGCATACAAGAGCCCCAAACTCGTGCACAGAGGTGGCAACATCACCGCACTGGACAAGAAAAGTCTCTCGCGTGACAACACAGCTGCGACCAGACCACCCATCAAAAAGTGACGAAGAATGGACTTGGACCTGGCCATGACTGCATTGTCAGCCTGTTGTTTTGTGTTCCGAAGACCAGTGGTGAGTTTGGTCAAGTGACCCGTCATGGCAAAGAATATGGTATTGCCCGTGGCATGACTTGCCGCTGTATTGATCACCCCGAACCCCATGGCCAAGAAGGGGACTTGCAACAACTTGGGACCAGCCCACTGTCGCGCCACACAGTCGGCCGTGGCAAAGAGCGCCAAGACAATGGGGGCTACCCACCGTAGGGCAGCCTTGTCGTCGTCGTCATTGGACGTCTTGACCCAATCAAAGAGGGAGACACCGGCCATGTAACTTCCCACAAAGAGGGCATGGACGAGGGCTTCGACGGTTTGAAAGTTGGCCATGGCCGTGGTCATCTTGAGGAGCGTCCCGGTCATCATGTTGACAAAACAGCCATACTGAGCCAGGCAAAGGACATCGGTGAAGCCGGCCAGGAATGCCGAAGCAGACTCGAAGAGAGCTTGCCTTCCTTCCTCTTTTTCTCTTCCTCGTTGCAGATCGTCATCCTCATAGTGGGTCACGGCAGTATTAGGACCATTGAACACGGGGCCGTCTGGAATGTGAACCGTTGGCACTGGGTCTTCTTCTTCATCAACATCTTCGACTTCCACCATGAGAGGCTCGACCTCCACAATGACCTCATCATTTTGGTTTTTAATCCTTCTCTGATGCTGCTGTTGATGAAACTTCTCCAAAGGATTGGTTTGAAAAATAGAGTCCAGACGGACACGATTAGTTTTAGTAGTAGTAGTAGGACCTTTCACTTTCGTGACTTCCACGGTTTGAAGCTTTGGCCGTTGCAAGAGCTTTCTTTGAGCGGGGTCAGTCGAAGGAACGTAACCTGCCGATAAGCTACAAGAGCAGCCCCCAAAGCAGAGCAGCAACACAGAGAAGGAACCCTTACCCATCATCATCATTGTACCGGTAGCAACTTTGACTTTTGTAGAGTTGTTTGATGGTTGATGGGTGCAATTGTGTCTTTGCAGTTGCCAGTGGCCAGATGTGTTTGGTCGGAAGCAGCTCCCTTCCGCACCACAGGAGGGTGTTCTCACAAGGATACTCCGATTGTCTTCCGTTGACCAAACAAGGCTAATTTTTTAAGTATCCACGTCTCAAAGAGGAACAAAAAAGATCGCGGAATGCTTTCGATATTCCATCGTCATTCCGATCCTTTTCGTCCAAGTCTGGTGCACTACAAGATGAGCCATCGTGTTTTATCAAGATGAGCAACATCAACCGTCCACAGCAAGAACCACAACAACAACGTGTTGAGGAACCACCTCGTCAGTTAGGCACACTGCGAGTTGGAACGGCCGGATGGACGAATGCGTCCTGGCGGGGTCCCTTTTTGCCTCCAGGTACCAAGACCAGTGGAGAATCCATGCTGGATGCCATTCAACACCATTTCCATGCGGTCGAGAACAATGGGACTTGCCACTCTATGCCCAGTCCACAAACGGTTGCCAAATGGAAGGCGTGCTGTGCCAAGAACTTTGTCATGTGTCCCAAAATGGTCAAGTACGTGACGCACGAAAAGGAGAGCGAGGATTCCTTTGCTGCCTTGCGGACGTTTTGTGACAACATTGCCCTCTTGCAGCAGCAGCAGCCCAGTAACAATCATAATAATCTGGGGCCCATCTTGATTCAATTTCCCAAGAGCAAAAAGATGCAAGTCGCGAATCTGCGTCGCATGGCACAAGTGATACAGGAGAGTGATTTATCCAACTCGACAACCAAGATTGCCTTGGAACTTCGTCACCCGGAATCCATCCAAGACGCGGCAGTACTGGAGGAATTGCGACGGTTGCAATGGTGCCTGGTGATTCATCCCAACAGTGTGGGTCGGGGAACTGTGGTCAAAGAGCAGCGACAAGGATTGTCGTCTACCTATGATTTGGCACCCTTGGATGCCAATTGGCCCATTACCGCCAAGAACTGGATCTACGTACGATTGCACTACAACAATGACGAACATTCGGGACGATACAGCTCCGAAGAATTACAAAAACAAGCCGTACCGGCCATTGTGGCGTGGCTTCAGCGAGGAATCCATGTCTATGCCTTTGTGCTCAATGGCGACGACAAGGCCGCCATGCCGCAAAATGCCAAGACTTTGGAAAGACTCTGTTACCAAGAGCTGGGAATGCCAGTGCCCCGAGCGCCGAAACAGCAAGCTCGATCCACCACTTCCTTCTTTGGTCCTCGGACTAGCACTGCCGACGTCATCCAGAAAAAGAAACGAGAATCAACGAGGAAGAATCAGGGCACTGCTCAAGCGTCAAACAAACGACGGAAGTAACAATTCTCGACACAAAGAAAACATGTCATGACCGAAGAAAGCTCGAATGTTTGGCAGACGATCTGGAAAATCTACAAACAATCTTTACTTTGGCGAGAACAGTACCATTTCTTCTACCCAGCCAACACCGGTGGGCGGTTGAGAATCATCATGGCTGGTTGGTAGACTATATGGTGGCATACGTTCGTGCGAACGTAAAAGGGATGAAACCACAGCTTGAAACAGAAGCCTTGTGAGAACGATCTGGGAGCTCCAGTTCTGGGAGCAGTCTGTCACTACAAACAACCTGCTGTCCCTGGAGTTGCTGCTTCATCAGATGGGCCAGTGGTTGTTGCTGCATCATGGACGGTCTTTCGTAGTGTGTTTCATTCTTACGAGAATATTCTTAATACCAACTATCAGCTACACACATCACTGCATCCGTATGCTATCTTACAGGGGCAATCAAAAGGTTGCGACTCTAGCTAGATACGCTAGCTAGCTAGTACACGAGCAACGCTCAACTTGCTCCTCGTTGTTGATTTTTGTGTACAGTCTGCCTAGCCAGCACACACCATTGCCATGTCTGTTCTTGTGTAGGTGGAAGTGGTGGTTCTGTCGTCCTCCCGTGGATCTCAAAAGTCTCGCCAGGATTGAATAGCCATGGCTGTTCTTGTGTAGTGGAAGTGACAGCCCCCCCCCCCCGGTGGACCTCACATGCTCGAATAGTACTCAGCCTTTTAGCATGTCTTGGCCCTCTTGTTGCATCCACCATCTCCCTTATTGCTGGCAGTCGCTTTTCGCTTCTGGCCAGCCATGCCGGTACCACGCAGCACCCATCGCGTAAAGATATCAACATAGTCTCGCAACCAAGAATAGATGATGGCGTGTTCTTTGTTGCCACAGCGAATCAGATGGCGAAGCCATGCGGAATCTAGCTCCATCTCACCACCTTGACGTGCAAGATCATACATGTGATATCGTCCGGCACGGTTCATTGCAATGGAATGATTGATTTGTCGTTGATATTCTTGTATTTGGACGGAAGGAGGAGTGGAGCTGCCTTGGACTTGGGCAGCAAAGAGTCTGTGGTTCTGAACAATGCCCTGAGTGATAAGTGGAACTGCCAGGTCACCACAATCCTCAAAGCGAACACCATGAAGAGTCTTGTTGACCGCAATTGCACTACCAAAGGCCTGGGCACAAGTTGAGTCTTCAAGAGAACCTTCGAAGCTGAAAACCTTGAGTGAAGTATTGTGTGCCAAGGCTTTGGCGATACGTTGTCGCAGATTGGTGCTCTTTTCAGTCAAATCAAATTGGCACCTTGAGATGTAAAAACGAAAATTGTGCCTGTCCTGATTTTGGAGCAATTTTACAATGGCGTCAGTTTCGAGCGTTCCAATGAAACAATCTGATACATAGATTCTTCCAGAAGGATCATTCGGCTGAGTGAATCCATTCCATCCAGAGAGGAAAGTTACAATAGCATTATGTTGCGTCTGAAAACCGTTCAGATAGAGAAGTTGGAGTACCTTTGACTGAAACAGGCCCTCCCAGAGGGGCCGCATATCCATGGCCTCCACCCGAGGGTTGCATATGAGTCGGAAACCCGTGGTATGTGTGTTATTTATAAACACTCTACCCAGAGCCTGAAACTGAGCCGTGGACAAGGGTGTCATAAAGGAAATCGACACGTCTTTAACTGTTGTGTTGGCGGTGAGTCTTTGGACAAGAAGGGAAAAGTCGTCGTCTCGCATTCCTGGAATCAAAACAGCGATGACTTTGACCAGATCTTCGTCATTCTCTCCCAATCGATTGCACAAACGACGAAAGTCTTCAGAGGCATGATCTACCGACACACTCATGGTCTAGGATGATTCCACGCACTCTGATAGGTAGCGGTGCTGGTGCCAACGATTGGTTGATCTGCTCCCGCACACCCCTGATTGTGATTGCTGGAAATGGATCCTTCCTTCCCATTTTCAATCAGACCCCACCGCGCCCATCCGCTGCCGCAAGTTTGGCACGCGTTTGCAATGAAAGAATGAGCTTGAGCAGATCAAATTTTGAGTAGAATACCTGGTACTGTTTGGGCTCTTTCCCCTTAATTCAAAAGATTGACGGTTCTTTGTTGAAGGTATAAGCTCAAATGATTTACAGATTGTTTAACTGATGGAACTGTCAAGATTCGGTTACTTAGAAGTACATTAAATTACTTAAAAGTACTTAGTACTGGTACTGTACCATCTTGGATGCGAAGCATCGACCATTGACCAATGCCTAATGCATGAGGGTTGCTGCATCCATCGATGCGAATAAGCAGAACGGCAGAAGGGCACTGCGGTGCTTGAAAATATAACATGTAACCCACAACCTACAGCAAAGAGACTTGAGGAGTGCCACGATGATGGAGCTAGACCTTGACAACCTTCCCTTTTGCGGTCGCCAGAAAGAGCTCAAGATCTTGCAAGATGCCCTGCAAGTTGCCAGCGAACAAGGCAAGCTCTGCCTTGTGGCGGTCAGTGGCCCGAGTGGAACGGGAAAGAGCCAACTGGTGTCTCATTTCATCCAAGAGCATGTTGTGAAATCACCAAGCAACAAAATGTGGGCGTGCTCTGGGAAATACGACGCCAACTCTTTGATGCGTCCCTATTCGGCAATTGGAGACTGCTATTCCCAGCTTGTGGAGCATATGCTACAGGATGATGCCAAGAAATGGTCGGCCAAGTTGGCAGAAAATGCCCAAATGGACTTTTCCGTCTTGGCTCCTCTCATCCCCAACATTTCCAAGTTACTACTTCCCGTACATCCTGTAGCAAAGGACACGAGAAGTAGAGGAGACGCACTGAGGCGACTCTCTCGTGTCAGCTCGGATTCGATTTCGTTTGCTTCGGAAAACAACCGATCCGCTTCGGAAGCCATTCAAGACTTGAAAGAAGCATCGTCTCTCCACAACGTCGACCGCTATGTCATTACTCTACGAGCACTCGCCAGGCTTGCTTGTGCCGAACGAACCTTGGTATTTGTCTATGACGATATTCAATTTGCAGATCCACAATCTATACGTCTCAAACAACGTCTCGCCTCCACGGCCGAAGACTTACGGTTGCTCATGATTGCCACGCATCGCCCCTTGTCAAAGGATCATCCGGCGGCTCCATTGATTCAGCGTCCCAACAGCAACCAATCCACTTTTATAGAATTGAAAGAGTTTCAACACGACAATATTCGTGACATGCTCCAAGCTGTTCTCAAACGAGAACCAGAGGATTTGCAAGATTTGACATTCTTGGTACAACGAAAAACAGGTTCCAATCCATGTGCCGTTCAGGAATATCTACGATTGCTGGCACATCAACGGCTGCTCCAGTTTTGTACCACGAATTACCGATGGACCTGGGATTTGGCCAAGATGGAAATGGAAACGGACGTGTCGGATGACATTGTCCAAATGGTGGTCCACCGCGTAGACGCCATTTGTGATAGTGACGACCTCCGCAAATTACTCTTGCATGCGGCGGCGTTGGGAGACTCGCGGTTTGAATCCACACTGCTCTTTCACGCCATGAATTATGGCGCCAACCGCAAGGTGACCACATTAGACAGCATGCATCAAGTGTTGGCGCAAGGCTGTGCCGAAGGACTCCTAGAGCATCAGACCCATAGCACGTGGTACAAATTCTCGCACGATCGAGTATTGGAGGCGGCGCAGACATTTCTGCCCGAAACGGGATCCTACCAGAGAGAAGAATTGCACTTTGGCATTGGGCGACAGCTGCTTAAAATGGCCATGGGAGAAATCAGTTGTGGTGGTGGTGACGATAACATGCAGCATTCCAAATCCAAATTGTTCATCATGGCCATGACACACTGCAACCAAGCTCCGGGGAAGGTTGCCACCTTGCCTGAAAACAGATGTCTCGAGTTTGTCAAAGCCAACCACATGGCGGCAGATGCGGCATTGGAAACCACATCCTTTGCTCTCGCAGTGGGGTTTCTCGAGCGCGGGCTGCGGCTCTTGGGATCGATTTCTGTGATCAAATGGAACGAACATTACGATACCATGTTGGCGCTCTCGGATTCGTTGGCATATGCCTACTTTTGCACCGACAATGTGGCAGCAGCCTCGGCACTCATTGAGGATATTATGACTCACGCCAAATCTCTAGATCACAAGCTGGGAGCGTACCAGAGCAGTATTCTATGCCGATGGCAGCATGGAGATTTGGACGGCGCTCTGAAACAGGCCATGGCGGTTGTCAAGGAGGTGGCCAATATCCGATTCCCAAAACGATTCCTTCAGGTTCATATGATCAAACGAATCTTGGGGATCCGGGGAGTGCTCGCCAAAACAACCGACCAGCAACTGTTGAACTTGCCAGACATTTCGGAGAAGCAGATCCACACAACACTCTACTTTCTGAATCTGCTGGCAGCGGTTGCTTCGTTTGCCAACGCGGAACAGATCTGCGTCATGACCATGATCGCATCCACCAAAATCACGCTCAAACATGGCTATGGACCGGAAACGGTCTATTCGGTAGCCTCAGCATCGTTTATCATGATTCTTCTGGAAGATTATGACAACGGAAATCGCCTCGCCAAGGTCGGAATGGAGCTGGCATCCAGGAATGACTATCCAGTTACCGATGCTCGGGCCAAAGTCCTTCTGAATTGCTACTGCATCCATTGGAAGCATCCTATGCACGAGTGCCTCGAGTCGTTGCTGGATTCTGCCAATACCTGTATGAAGAACGCAGACGTCAGCTATATGTTCTTCAATTGCTTCATTTACTGCCTGATGTACTACTATTGCGGTCTTTCTCTAGAACCAATTGAGACAGACTACAAACGCTTCGAGGAGACACTTTCTGATTACGGACAAGAAATGTTCTTGGCAATCATGCGTTGTCGAATGCAACAAATTCAGAACTTGAGAGGGAAGGGATCTCGAAAGCCAACGGATCTGACGGGCGATGTCATGGATCAAGACAAATGCATTGCCGAATGGAAGAAGATTGGCCATGGTCGAGCTTTGTTCACGGCATATCTATGTCGTCTGGAGCTCGCTTGCTATTTCGACGACACGCACATTGCCGAAGAAATGTCAAAGTTGTTGCCCGCCATCGTAAAAGAAGGCCCGGGTGTTTGGTTGTTGTCCCGAGTCTTCTTCCAAGGCCTGCTCTGCTTCCGATTGGCGCAGAAGACTCGACGGCGGAGACGAACCAACATTGCAAAAGGGAAACGGCACCTTGGTTGGTTTTCGACGCGGGTGGCCAAAGGTTGCCCGAACTGCTTCCATTACATGAAACTGTTGACAGCCGAGTGCACCCGAGTGACGGTCGGCATCAAGGACATTGACAAGGTTCAGCAGAGCTACGATGCCGGAATTGCTGCTGCGGGCAAGCTTGGATTTATGCAAGATCATGCCTTGGGCAACGAGTTGGCGGGACGATTCTTCTTGGAGGAAGTCGTCCAGAAGAATTCGGACGAATGTGGTTCCGGCAAGGAGTGGGCAGAGACGTACTTGACAAGAGCTCTCGAACTGTACGGGTCATGGGGCGCCGAAGCCAAGGTGAAGGACATGCGCAGGAAATACAAAGACATGTTACCGGGGCTTGATACTAGTGAGATCCAGATGAATGGTTCGTCCAATCGAGGGTCTTCTCGACTCTCGACAACGAGACTGAGTTTTGTGTCGTCGGGATCGAAAGTCAGCCGAACCAGTTACGCCAGCAGCCGGAATTCACATTCACAGTTGACCGACGAAACCACGACAATAGCCAGTGTATAGTTAGCTAACTTGCTTAATCGGCAGAATCGTCTACAGCTTGTTGTTTTATCAATCATTCTTCTGTCTAGCTAACTAGGAGATAATAATTTGTAGCCACAGATTGACGACAGCAATTGTTGGTTTCCTTTGGCTTCCACAAATTGACCCGGGAGGGGCGGCATGAGCCATAAAAGATGAAACTCGAGCACGCACCGCTTTCTATCGAGGTCAAGATGGCAGCCCACATTCAAAGCAAAGAACACAAGAAACTAGAGCCAGGAAAAACGAAACTCGAGCGCAGCTATGTATCGATGTGTCGAGATAGCAGCAAAAATTAATTCGAAGCTACAGTGCAGTACCTGGCCGGACTAAAAGCTTTTCTCTTTGCCGAGGCCTTATCTATCACGTTTCAACTACGAATTCATGCACTCCACGTAGTTTTAGTTTCATTTTTTGTATTTTTGTTTTGCATCACCGCCCAATTCTGTCCTGTCTGTCTTTTTCTTCTTGTTGTTTTTGTTTCAATCATTGTAATATGGATTTTCCATGTCATCATTGGTATAAATATCATCATCGTCTTCTTCGTCGGAATCTCCCATGGGCGACTGCATATGATGTTGTGGTTGTCCACCTCCAGGTTGTCCTCCCTTGCCGACATATGTGCGAGAACATCGGACAATCGCTTTCCCGACACGCCCAATCCAATCGTCCTTTTCCGTTTCCGTATCGGCGTACAACAGATACGTAATTTCCGGAGTCGAAATTTCAAAGGAATGTCGTTTTTTGGATTTCCAATCGGCACTCTTGACAGTGGTACAATGGGCGAGATCAATCATGCCGTGGGGTCCTTGGTATTCGTTCTTGGCAAAAAAGAGTTTGTTGCCCTTGAGGATAACATAACGTCGTCTCCAATCTTTGAGCCACATGGATTGTTTGGTAAGCCATCCTTCGTATTCGGCTTGATCGCATTCGTAGAGAATATTAGTGGTGGGATCCATGTACGGTGGACGGGTCAAACGGTGATGCGAATGCTGATTATTTGGAGTGTTGCGTTGTGGCGCTTGTGGCGTTTGGGGTGCTCGAGGGGGACTACTCATCGTGTTTGTCGGTGGCATGATAGTGGGTGGATTGGTATTCATAACACTACGGTTCATCATGTTGGGATTCATTTGGTTTTGATTCATCATACTGTTGTTTCCAGCCATGGTGGGTTGTTGGGGTGGTTGCATCATCCCTGACTGATTCATCATCATCTGATTGGGTTGTTGCATCATATTGTTGTTCATCATGCCAGGCTGATTCATCATCATCTGTTGCTGTGGCATCATTCCACTGTTCATCATCTGTTGCTGATTCATCATGAGAGGATTGTTTTGCATTCCACTGTTCATCATCATGGGATTGTTATTGTTATTGTTCATCATCATCATGTTGTTGGTGTTTGGTTGCGGCTGTTGCATCATTCCAGATGGATTCATCATTCCAGGCTGTTGCATCATGCCAGACTGGTTCATCATCATTGGATTGTTGTTATTGCTGTTGTAACCTCCTGGTTGTTGTGGTTGCTGCTGATTGGGATTCATCATCATGTTGTTGGGAGCTGGAACACCAGGCACACCAGGAGGAAACGGAGGAACGCTAGAGTTCATCATCTTCCTTCAACATAAAACAAGAAAGAAAAAAGACAAAACAACCAATCAATGAGAGGAGATGTGGCGAAGTGACTGTCACTCCAATGACTCGACTGACTCGACTCCCAAAGGCAAGGGTCAACTTCACCATAGCATGCATCTGACTTATTCATTCCACTTACTGTACTGTTTACAATCAATCAGTCAAACAAGAGAAAGATAGCAATGACACTCTACCAGAAGAGAAGGTTGGACGATGGAATGGCAATGCGATCGTATCGTGCTGCTTTTAGGAACTGTGGATTTTTGTATTGTGGATTGTGGATGCTGCTGTCTTTGGGATCTTTTGCTTTGGTTCGGTGCGGCTGCTCCAATCTGTGAGAGGTGAGAGGACGCTGACGGAAACATTACAAGAGCAGGGTGATCCATGGTGTCATCCAAGAGCCACAAACGCTGTTCCTGACCGTTCCACCGCAAAGATCTTTTCCGAAAGATTCCCTTCGTTTCATTTGTATGTTCTTGAGTCTTGATGTCAGCCAACATCAGCCTCTCTACATTCATCTCCCTTCCCACAAAGCTACCTCTTTATCCATTCATCAGGTTAGCTTAGAATAGTGGGTTCTATATTCACAATGGAAGGCTTCAAACCGGTTCTATTTGGCTGGACCACCACACAGAACTTGTGGCCCATGATTCATCCTCCGCTCCTCTTGGGATGGGGACCTCTCTGTCTGGCACCACGATGGAAACATACAAAGACATTGACATTGGCCATGCCATTCTTGCACGGAATACTCTACAGCTCCATTCTGCTACCCATGATGATGATGGCACCATCGCCTGATGGTGATGCACCACAACCCGATTTGAACAATATGGAAAGCATCTTTCGACTCTTTGCCAATCCGGATGTTTTCTTTTGTGGATGGGTCCATTACCTCGCATTTGATCTTTTGGTTGCACGAGGCATTGCACAGGATGCACTGGAAGTTTGTAAGGTCTCCGATTGGCAGTATTACACCATGGTCGTTCCTTGTTTGTTCGGATGTTTCTATGCCGGTCCTGTCGGATATGTACTCTACATGGTCATTCGAACGTTGGTGCTCAACAGCAACCAGAATAATGACACCAAGTAAGAAGAACCAACCAGAAGGAAAGTAAGTATGCAAACAAACAAACAGACAGACAAGAAATCCAATCAACGTTGGAAGTGAATGATTCGATTCATTCGATCCATTTGGTCCGTATATGCATGGTACGGTCCATGAAGCAATGTGCAAGAAAGACCTGATATGTTTGGATACGGTCCTATTCATAAATAGTTGATTTGTAGAAGTCCTTACAGTAATTTGAGAGAATGGTCTCAATTGTTACTATACTGTACTCTCTGTATCGGAAGCGTGCTTTCATCTTCGAGCGAGGGACGCAACATCACTGTTCGTCGATCCCCTCTACTAGTAGACCAGCTAGAAATAATATGCAAAAACCGAGACATATATTTTCACGTATTAAGGGTGGAAGCAGACTCATCATTGGTACGATACAGTCGTACGGTGGTACCTATAAGAGGACGCGTGGACCAAGACTATAGATGTTTCAAGTTCTTGGTTGTAGAACCGTACCGGTCAAGAACCGAAATAGGAATAGGAAATATGCACCGAATTCAAGTTAAACCGAAGGTCCAGAGCAAAATCATTTCGGCTGTCGAGCTGTCGATGCCGTCGCCTGTTGTCTCTTTGTCAAATGTCACTGCTGTCGGCGAACTACGTATTAGCACGATACGTTGTATGCATACAAGAGCAAAGAAAGGGCTGGGAGCAGACTAATCATTGGTATTCTAAAGGGGAGTGGTATCATCCTAGACCATGAGCGTGTCGGTAGATCATGCCTCTGAAGACTTTCGTCGTTTGTGCAATCGATTGGAAGAGAATGACGAAGATCTGGTCAAAGTCAACGCTGTTGTGATTCCAGAAATGTGAGACAACGACTTTTCCCTTCTTGTCCAGAGACTCGCCGCCAACACAACAGTGCAAGACCTGTGGATTATCTTTACTGCACCCTTGTCCAGGGCCCAGTTACAGGCACTGGGTAGAGTGTTTATAAAAAAAACACATACCACGGGTTTCCGACTCATATGCAACCCTTGGGTTGAGGCAATGGATATGTGGCCCCTCTGGGAGGGCCTCTTTCAGTCAAAGACACTCAAAAAACTCTTTCTGTATGGCTTTCAGATGCAACACAATGCTATTGTAACTTTCCTCACTGGATGTAATGGATACAATTCTACTACTCCAAGAATCCATTTTGCCACTTGTTTCATTGGGACTCTCGAAACCGATGCCATTGTAAAATTGCTCCAAAGACAGGACATGAACAATTTCCGCTTTCACATCTCCAGTTGCAAATTTGATATGCCTGAAAACAGCACCGGTCTGCAACAACGAATCGCCGAAGCCTTGACACACAATACTACAGTCAAGAGTTTCGGCTTCGAAGGTTCTCTTGAAGACTCAACTTGTGCCCAGGCCTTTGGTAATGTAATTGCGGTCAACAAGACTCTTCGTGGTGTTTCCTTCGAGGATTGTGGTGACCTGGCAGTGCCACTTATCACTCAGGGCATTGTTCAGAACCACAGACTCGCCTCTGCCAAAGTCAAGGGCAGCTCCCTTCCTCCCTCCATCCAAATCCAAGGATGTCAACGACAAATCAAACATTCCATTGAAATGAACCGTGCCGGACGATATCACATGTACCATTGTGCACGCCAAGATGGAGAGATGGAGCTAGATTCGACATGGCTTCGCTTGCTCATTCAAAATATTGGTGAAAAACACACCATCATCTATTCTTGGTTACGAGACTATGTTGATATCTTTACACGATGTGCACTGTGTGGTATGGCTGGTCAGAAAAGAACAGAAACTGCAAGCAGTAAGGGAGATGATGGTAGAGGACCCAACAAGAGGGCTAAGACAGGCTCGAGCTGAAAGGCTGAGTACTATTCGATCACCACAAGACTTTGAGATCCATGGGAGTGCAGGGTACTGTTATGGCACGCTGTTCTGGAAGCGGGCTTTCATCTTCGAGGGAAGCAGCAGCACCGGTACCGTGCATCCCTTCTAACTAGACATACTAGTATCCGAGACGTTTATTTTTACTTGCGACTACATCATTATGAGTACAGCCCACTATTCGACCTCTGTTATCTGGGGGTACCGGTACCGTACCAGGTACCAAGTTTCAGCTTTGTTCATTCACGGGCCGTAGTGGGACGGACCGTAGTGCCCAGGGACGGCATGAGTGAAGCCGTTTCCCGACCTTTTCGCCGAACCTGTAGCCAGCCCTTTGACCTGATGCGGATGCAACTGAGCAATGGTGTGGACTCGAGAGACAGCCACAAGCGCCGCGTCTCTCGATGGATACCACCAAATTGAATCTTCCTGTTGACGTATTACACGGCCCTCTGGGCCCCCCTCAGATCGGTAGTAAATATTCTTCTCTTGGTCGTGGTACACAGCTGTAAACCAGCGACGACCCTGCTTATCCGAGCATTCTTGATAGAGAACACCTGTAAGCCGCTGGAACTTGAGCTGTGGATTGTCAACCATTGGGCCTATCCGTGGTTGTAAATGAACAAATTCGCAAAGTGTTCTGGTGCATCGCGCTCGGGAATTGGTGCGATCGAATCTGTCACAGAACTTTGCCCTACCGCCAGTGACAAACCACAGGGAATCGATCTGCGGTAGCTGCAGGTCGACAGAAGCTTGAGGCGGGCCAGTGCCTTGACGCTCACGGTCGATTTCAAGCATCTCCTGAGAGGTGGACAACCGCCGTTGCAGGTCATCTTCCTTCAGCATAGATAAACCCTTTTCTGTCAATTTGAAGTAGTCTTCTTTGGACAGTGTAGATGATTGCGACTGCGACTTCCCATTGAATGGAAGAATCGGCTGGCCTGGTTGTGTAAGTGCCCTCTTCCCGACCAAATAGAAGCGATCCTTGAATGCGGTCGTGCGAACGTGCCGTAGCACTTCCTTGTCGGAGGCTTTTTTCTGGTCCAGACCGACGTTTCTGCGAAAGGCGGCTTCACTAGTCCCTTTAGCGAAGAACCGCAGAGAAGAGAGGTCAGGCAAGGTTGTCGGTGCTGCAAGCCCCATATTTCAAAATGGTTATTAGTATTCGTACCTTGCCAGACCCAATCGTTCGTTGGGTTTTCTATTGCTCTGAGGTAGTGCAACAGGAGCGTTCGATCATTGCCAACTGGTTCGTTGAGTCTTTTATTCAACAACAAGGCCGGGAGGACTTCCAGGGCAGACCCATCGACGGGAACACGCTGTCGCTTCGCTAGATGCTCGTCCTGGTTGTCCGAATGATGAATCCGCTTGTTCCCGAATGGTTGGTGGTTCGATAGGGAGGCGGTGCGGTGCTTTCCATCGTTCAGCCCGCCTTTCGCCATCTTACTAGCAGAACCACACGCAATGTCGTCATACAACTCACAATCACGATTCTCGTTGCTGTTGCTTTCAATCGTAAACATGTCATTCTTTTCTGAAAAGCTGACCGATCTGGAGAGCTGACCCTCGCGAGTACCGCTCCCGTACTTGTTGGGCTGGAGGATTCCCTGCGGTGGAGGTCGGAACAACTCTTCTGGGACCTTGTTTGCCATGGCGTCTTCTGCTTCGCTTGATGCGCATGCAGAAGCTTGAGATTCTTGTCTCGACAGGGTGGTTTGGTTGTGAGTACCGGTACTCTCGGTTGATGGCATTTCGACAGCCCCATCCCACCTGTCTTGGCACCTCACGGAAAAGTGCATGGACGCAGAGTCCTCTGAAAACCAGATTCGCAACATCTGCCCTCGTTCCCGCGCCGCCTTGCACTTCTGTTTCAGATCACTGCAGCTCTCAATGTCCTCGATTGCACCACAATCGGCGGAGCCCTGAGTTTGAGACTTGGCGACGATGAAGCCGGGCGAAAAGATTGCGCTCAAGGCGTGACTCACTGTCACAACTCTGCAAATGGTGCCGTCAACAGATTGTTCTGTATGGACCTGGAATCCGAGGGCTTCTTGGGGGTCAAAGTCGAACCAAATCATTGGCTCCATCTTCTTTCGTCGCGAATAGTCTTCCAAAAACTCATCCTCCACGCCAAATGGCTCGTTGACAAAGGGACGTTCTTTCGTGGCTAATGCACACAGTTCAGATAGCGAACCAGGAATCCTTTCGGAAACACCTTCTGGTTCCGACTCTTCAGCAATGCCGCCTTTCTGTGCAACTACTGTACTATCATCGGGGTTGGTGGGCTGCGCTAGTGGTTGTTTGTGCATTGGGGCTTCCAGGGCTGCGTCTGCCGGAGATAACGCTGAAGATTCAATGCGTTTTTCTAGGCTTTCGCTAGCCCCTTCCATTCTTGCTGGCGGCGAGCGTGTTGGGGAGTTTTGAACAATTGTGACCAGCTGCCCTTCAATGTCGTCAGTAGCGACTTGCATACTTCCTGGTGTCAAGTGCGTTGGGTATGGTTGGTCTCGTGCAACTTGTTGTGCTTTGGAGTCTCCTCTGGCACCTTCCATTGTTGCAGACGGCGAGAGTGCAGGGGAAAATGGAACGTTCGTGGTGTTCGGTGCTTCGTCCCGACCGGCATCGCTCGCATGATCTGGATATCCGCGCGCCGAAAGTTTCGCTTCTTCCGCAACGTTTTGCGAACAAGCGCTTTCGATTCGTTCAAACGGCTCTTTGGATGTGGCGAATGGTTGTTGCGTGACCACTTGTTTGACACCTCTCGCTTCATTTCCACAGGCACCTTCCGACAGTGCTTGAGCTGCAAGTTCTGCTAAGCCGTGGCTGGATGGAGCTTCCTCTTGACAGGAGGCGTTCTCGAGTGAGTTGTCAACTTCTTCTGGAGGCTGATTGGCTTCGGCAAGGGTGCAGATTTCTCCAATCACTTGAGAGTGGTCAAGCAGCTCTATATTGACGGTTCGGTGCGCCAGCAATGTCATCGTCACCCCATTGCCCTGGTGGTCGCGACGGCACTGGTCCAACTCGTCTTTCGTGTAGATTTCCTCACCGCCAACTTTCCAAATGGCGACACCATTAAGGGTTTCATTCGATTCTTGGTCCCCGAACAGACTTTCCCAAAACTCGGGCTTTGAATCGTCCCTCTCAAAGCCAATCCAGAGGCCAGTGGACACACCGCGACGTTGAATCTCTAATGCGGATCCATCCCAAGATGACAGGTTGATGTCAATGCAATTGCTCCACGGATCATTGACAAGGTCGTAGTGTTTCAATTTGGCCTCTTTCAGATTTAGCCAGTCCCAGCAGAGAGTCTCGAAAGCCTCGACAAGAACCTTGGTACCCACAAAGCATAGCTTGTACTGGTTTCGTAATTCATCGGCTATCAAGCTAGCATCAAATCCACCTTCAAAGATGCAAGGACTTGCTGTGCTTTGGAAAGGGCGTAACACTTCGTCTTCAAACGCCACAGGTGATGTGTCCAAGTCACCGAAGAATTCAGAATCGACCTCTATAGTGCGCTGGATGATAGAACTTGGACGCTCTTCTCCTTCAACAACATTGCACGTCGGGACAAGATCGCAAAGGAGTCTCTTCATCCTGTCGATCCGCTCTCTTTTTGTTTTAGCCTTGCGCGATGCCTTCGTGACGTCTGTCCAATTAAAGTTAGAGAAGGAAGTTGAGCTTCCGTCGTCAACACACTCAACGGATTCCCCATGTTTTCGAGTGTTCTTCGCGTCACTGATGGAATCATTTTTCACAGCAGCATCCTTCCGGAGTTTTGTCGGAGATATAGCGGAAGGCTGATTATTTGTTGCGACTGGTGATGAAGTAAAACTATTCAAGTTGGCATTGCTTTTCGGAGGGTCCTTGCCTCGCAGCGTGGTCGCAGAAAGCTGGGATGTGCGTGTTGGAGGGGGCTGAGACGGCGACGGAAGTTGGCCAACACTCCGGGATGGCGCCTGTTCTTCCAGTGAGGCACCGGTAGGTGGAAGATGAGGGAAGGAGACGGCGATCGTTTGCTGCGACGCCTTTCCTTTCATTGAAACCTGGCCAGGCTTTCTTAGCGTAGACATGGGGCTGAGAGTGGGTGGCTTGCTAACCAAAAGTCCAAGACTCGGTTTGTTTTCATCATTCGTTCCAGTTTGTGGGAGAGGCCTGTACCATTGCGACTTTCCAGATGCCGTATGAACGTAGTACAAGGTCTTATACTCGGAGTGGAAATGCTGGGTCCAGCCATCTGGCAGCGGCAAAGGCTTCTCCCATTGATAAACCCCATAGGACGGGAGCACAAAGAAGCATCGCTGTTGGTCACTATCAAAGTATGGTTCCCACCCAGCCGGTAGATCCGAGAGTGACATGCGCTGCTTTCTGGTGGCTGGTGGAGCAGGTTGCTGAAAAGCCAATGAAAGGTGGCAGGAGTCACCGCGATCCAATGGCTGACTGTTCGGCGGCGCGTGACCAGCTGAGCTGGGTGGTGGATCCTCTGGTTCCTGCTGGTTGTTTTGTGGTGTACCAGTATGGCCCTTAGCATTTGTGCTTTGGAGGGTTGATGGAAATGACTGGCTTGCGGATTGGGCACGATCATTATCTACTGGGCTGTCGCGGTGATGTTCAGGCTGGTGCTGTTCGTCGCTCGTGTCCACTGAGCTTGACAGGGGAATCGCAGCTGTCCCATTGCTATGACTGGCTTCTCCGTTCTCATGCTGGTGCACAACTCCATTCTCAGCGTCGCGTTGTTTTGCCAGAAAGAGAAAGTCAATAAAGTGGTGCGGCTTCTTCTTCGCTTCGCGAGAGGCTTTGAGGTTGCGCTTGCGAACATTCGTCGTCCAGTTGATTATTTGTTGCTGGGAAAGGCCTGTTTGATGCATGAGGTCGTTTACTTCGCACTGACCAGGATATGGATTGTCTTGGTGTGCCCTCATCCATTCGTGAAGAATGCTTGTCTGCCACTGTGGGTACTTGACACATATTGCCTCTTTCCCCCTGGGTTTCGGTTTTGGCTTCGGACCGAGCAACTGCTCGCAGCGATGCTTCTCCGTTTGAAGAATAGCAAACATGTCATCAAACTGGATATCGATTGTTGGATTGGTACCCCGAAGGATTCTGCGTGTATCTTTCTTTGCAGATAAAGTTAGCAGGTACTCGTGGAGTTGCGCAAGCACCTCGCTCAATGGGCTATCTGAACTTTGAGCTGGGGCAATGCCGTAGACATGTAGACTCTTCACTTCAGATGCAAGACCGAGGAGCTTTTGGAAGTCTTCGTGACAGAGCAACAGATCCAATTCATCAGGCCGGTCGTTTGATGCCGATTCGGGTTTGTTTGTTGTGTCGACATTTTCAGGAGACAAAAGGCTTCGATGTTCGATGGGAACGCTGCTAGAGACGATACTGCCATTGGTGTCACCTTGATCCCCATGGTCTACAGTGGTACTTCCTCCGTTGTGCTGGCGATCATCGAGTCCTGGAGGCATGGCTGTGACTGGCTGGTCGCTGGTTTTCTGACTCGAAGATTTCTCTGAAGAATCCGCGGGCTCCTCACCTCCGAGAAGCGCGGGCAGCGACTCTTTTGCTGCCACGGTTGGACTACTCTTTGCATCGAGAACACAGTTAGATTTCTCTGTCCCCGCAATTGGCATCGGCGACTTCTTCGGCGTGCATGTCGTAGCCTGTTGACTCTTTGGAGGAGGTGTATTGTTGCCTTTCGTTCCAACGGAGGCTTGATTTGGCGCTGTCCTTTCATTGAGAGCTGTCTTTTGCTGCATTGCACTCTTTGCCACGTGATCAGACGCCGAACAAGATGGCTCGAGAGCCTTTGAAGCCCCTGCCGACGAAGGCGGACGACACGATTCGTTGGAGGACATGGAACATTTGTCCGTTGTCGAGGGCAACTTGAACGAATTCGCTCCCCCACCGACAAGTCCTAGATTCCGTGGCTTCATAGCTGACGTCCGCGTCTGTGTCGTGCGAGCTGCTGGCGTGTCCTTCAATGCACCATGTACCGACGTGGGAGCTCCAGAAGGGGCTTGAGGAGACGCAAGCAAGTGTTGAATCGCTCCACGTGTGCTAAGTCGGCGGATATTTGATTGCATTTCGCGTGGCCTCGATTGTACCTGTTGCCGGGCTCCGCCCTTGGGAGATGGTTTGACTGGGGTTTTCGACACTCGCAGACCGGTTTGCGACTTCTTTTTGGTGTTTACGATGAACGAAAGAGGTGTTCTCAAGGGAGCCTTGATTTCGGGACGAGACAGGTCGACCGACGGCGTAGTACACGTGTTATTGTTTGTAACGTCATCTCTTGGTCTGGAAGATGGTGATGCACTGGCCACGGTCACGTTCGTTTCCCCTCGGATGAAAAGCCCGTCTGGATTCATTGGACTCAGAGCAGGTGACGGAGGAGCGAACGTTGCGACAATGTCCCAGCTTGACCGCTTGGTTGGATGCGCTGTTGACTTGTTTGTAGGCCCTTCTACAATGGATACAGCAGTGGACTTTGTGGCCTTGTCCCAGCGTGATGGCGGTTTGGTTGTCGATGTAAGACCAGGCACTGTTGGCTTTGAAGGCCCTGCTACAACGGGCGAAGCGACGACGTCCCAGCGTGATGGCTTGGTCTTGGATGTGGGACAAGGTCTTCCCGATGTATTTACTTTGTTTGGCGAAGGCGACCCCCGCCGCTTCAAAACGGAAACTTTGTCGACCACTGCGTTTCCTGGCCGCTTCATCAAAGATGCATTGGCGTTTGGAATCGTTGCTCTTTGCCCGACCAACAAAGACACTGGCATTGGAGACGCACCCGTGGAAGTTCTCTTGTCTGCTTTTGCCTCATTTCCTGTCGGAATAGACGACGAACCCTGCAATCCCAACCGTCTCTTCTCGTTCAAGCCCGCATCCACATCGATAATCTCCCGAGACGACGCTTGTGTTGTACACATGGTAATCGGAACATGAGCCGTCTGCTGGTGCCCGCCACTCGTGCGTGTCGCCGTTGCGTTTGGCCCAACATCCAGAGCCGCAAAATTGTGGCATAACAATTGTGTTTCTTCTCCGGCCACTTGCTGTGGAGTGTCGCCCGAAAGGATGCCCTTTGCGGAGGAGGAGGAGGGAGGCTTTTGGCTCTCAGTCGCGTTTGCTGGTCCAGCCACAAGTACAGGTACCTCCTTTGGATTCACTCCTGGTAAACAGAATTGCGGGTCAAATGAAGCACCCCTCACTAGAATAGTCTTCTGAGAACCCGATTGTCCCTCCTTTTCTGGACCCTTGTGCACTGTGCGTTTCTGTCGGAGTTGCCCATGATTGGCGGATTGTTTGCTGCTCTGGCTGTCTCTGCTTCCTTCTGTAGAGGCCTCCTCCGTGCCCTGCTTTTCAGCTTTCTTTTGTTGTTGCTGTTGTGGTGTGGATTCCGCCGAGAAAGAAGGAGTCTCTTCCTTGTCCATAGATGGCTCTGTGAGCGACACGGGACCCGATGGCGTGTCGACAGCGGGACGGAACGTGTGACTTTTGGAATTCTGGTGGCTGGCCAATGCATTGACTGTCTCTTTGACTCTGCTCTTTTCCGCTGCTGGAATTGTCGTGTCGTTCTTCTGACTGGACAGAAATGTTGATGGATCCTCAGTGTTTTCCTCCGACGTGAGGTCAATGGGGACACTCGCTGGCCGGCGCTTCTTGAGTGGCAGTTTCTTGTTGTCATATTTGGGCAGTGGCGGTTGAGGATGACTCGTCGCCGCTTGTTGCTCTTGTTGTCGCTGCTGCTCTCTTTTACGATTCTCGATTCTTGCCAGCAATTTCTGCTCGGTTCTGGGCGACAACCGAAGCACATCATTGGGAACAGGAACTGTGTTGTGTGACTGAGATTGAAGCGTCTTGGTTCGTTTGAGCTTGTTGCTATTGCTACTGATACTCTCACTGTTTCCTCCGCCGTTCGTACCGTCTCCCAGATCATCGGCATTGCGCTTCTGACCAGCCGCTGCCGCAGGAGGGGCCACCGCCAAGCCGACATTGCCTCTCACCATGGCGTCATTGGAGCCGTTGCCGCTACTCTTCTTGCTGTTTCTCATAGCCAAATGATCCATTCTTCCTCCACTCCACTCTGTCACTGACAGACAACAAGGCCGTCAGCGGAATCAAAGATTAGAAGGCCACCCTGGTGTCTTGTATCGATGATGAGCAAAGGAGTCTCTCTCAATTGCTTTGCTGCTTCTTGTGTGGTCGCTTTGGTGATTTTGAACGACGAGACAAGAAAATGAGCGGCAAATTCATTTTGAATAAGGGCTCGCACGGGAAGCCGAGGTAAATGTTTGCAGTGCATCCACCTAAACCACCCCATCTTTCCGGATCCACAACCCCCAAACTTTAGGGGGCAACTGCGGGAGTTGAACAACCCCGCTTTCAGAGGAACCGAGAAGAATCTTACCGGAAGGGTAGGTGCGGCTTACTCTTCTCTGTGACTGTACAAGTACCCGCGAAGACGGTGCTGATGGAGCTTCTCGTCTCCTAGCTAGACAGCACATGGAGCCTGCCACTTTTCCCAACAAATGGTTGCTTGGCGCAGGCAAGGAACTAACTTCTTCTAGCTAGCTAGAGTAGATGACTTGAGGAACTGAACTACCTTTAGCTTGAGGGTCAACTGACTTGAACATTCTGCCTAATTGCACTGATGTGCTGTGTGTCGCAATGGCCAGTAGCCATGCCTTGCCTGAACTCTACGCTTCTAGCCTTGTTGGTCCAGCAAGAAACTTTGAGGAGCCAAATCATACATCGAATGATCTGCCAGCAGTTAGCTAGCTAGAGACGGGCTTGCAAGCTTCCTTGTGCCCCGCCTTCCAATCTTCCTTTTGACAACCTCGACCACAATAAAACACAGCCTTGCATCGGGTACAGCTCTTCAGGGGACCGGAAAATGCCGTTTGACAAACAGCGCAACCTTCTTTTTGACCCCGCAATGGGAGATATTTCTTGCCGGTGGTCGGGCTGGTTTCTCCATAACACTCGTACTGTTTGGCAATGGCATGCCTCCACATGGTCAAGATTTCGCGTTCCAGCATGCGGCAGAGAATGGCAGTCTTTTTATTGCCAGAAGCGTTACTCACCAAGTCATCGTCTATTGTTGGCATTTGGTCGAGTCGATAATCAATCATATCCAGAATAATCGACCCTGGTTCAAATGGTTCCACCACAACCTCGGCTCCGTCATCATTCGACAATGAAAACAAGGCATAGAGATGCAAATTGTTCAAGTAGACAGGCCGCCATGATTCCGATCCCCGTACTTTGGCCATGTCGATAGGGGATCCCATGAATGCAAACGGGGTCCCATCTTCCGGTGGAAATTCCGTCAAATGACGCCGTTCCAAGACCTTGTTTTTGTCACTTGTGAGGGATTTCCATCGTCGTTCGTCGCCTTCTTCCCACACTAATTTGGGTGGTGGCACCACATGCACAACATCCAATCCATCAATAAGGGGTTTTCCAGTTGTCGATGCCACTGGTACGAATCCAAATTTGGTGACAAAGACTTGACTGGAAATTTGTCCGTAGGAAAAGATGACTTCGTCTCCTTTGGCAATATCTCGCGTGGCTTGGACGGCCACGTGAATACCCGGATAATGCAGCACATGAACATTGCAGCGAGGACTGTATTCCTTGTCTCCATTGAGCATATCCAACAATGGACAGAGGGTGCGCGTGTTGGTTTCGGCTGTAACAGTCGTACTTGCAAAGTTGGCGGCATCCAAGGAATGCATGCGGGAATAAATGGAGCAAATAGCGTGAAAGTAGGATTCCTTTAATAGGGTCGAGTCCACCTTGTCATTTGGTTGTAGTTGTTGTTGGAGATATTCCTCCAATACCGATGCAAAGGATTGTTCCCAATTTTCCTCCACTTCTCGTCGCAATCGCAGAGCCACGGCATGACAGGCGGTTCCTTTGAGTAGTTCCATTTCCTCGTCCGTCCAATTAAAAATCAGCGACTCGTAGGATGGTGGCAAGGCTTCCAAATAACTCTTGAAATGAGTTGCAGCATCTCCGAGTGTCCCTCCAATGGATGCTTTGACTCGATGCGCATACACCAACAACGTCAATTGCAACGCCAATCGGAGTTCATCCAGACAAAGGACGCGTCCTTGGCTTTGCTCGTTTGCAAAGGAATTCCAGGGGTTTCGAGTGTTGCTCTTTTGTTTCCATTGTGTCGTCAAATTGTCTCGAAACGCCTTCATTGCTGAATCAATACAGACCCTCGCTAAATCCATCAACAGAGGATGACTTTCACTCAATACACAGGCTTCCGGAATGGTCACCAACGTGTCACCCTTGCGAATCGATTCTTTGGCAAACAATCCCACCATGGGCGCGGCATTCTTATCACTATCACTACTAGTAGTAGTGACAAACTCAATCCGATCCAGTTTCAAGACGTGAGGATAATCATGGTGGCTTCCATCCTCTTCCATGCGTTGTCTCCCATATGTCTCCACCCAGTCAATGCATCGTTCAATGGCTCGCCGACGTTCTTCTACGAGAGAAGAATTGCCGCTGCTACTTACCGTCATCTTGCTCCTGTTGAAGGATAGACTGCGGGGAAAGTGGTTCAGATTTTGAGGCGTTGGCTCCCTCCTCTTCGATCTTCAAAGATCGTACATGCGTGGCCTGCGAGAACTCCAATAGGGTTCGAGTACACAGGTTGGCTGCAAGTCTGAAGTCAACTGGCAGCTCATCAGTCATACCGTATCGGATGCATTCTCCAGACCCCCAATCCTGGCTCCACAACTCTACACCTGGGCCTGCCCGCCCCCGACTGTCCCCCCTCCTGGACCAATTCCATGGTCCATCTCCAATCCAACTTCTGGACCCAATTCTGGCTGGACCAAGAACACAGGCCAATCACCAGGACCAACATCTGGACTTACACTGTCATACGATTCAGCAAATCTCTGGACCAGCTTTGGGGCCCACTACATAGTATCTCTGGTCCATCTCCAGAACCTACTCCTGGACATCATGCCAACTAGACTGACGCGATTGGTTTTGTGTTTTTATCGAATTTGAATCTCGGCATGTGAAACAGGCATTTGTTAAGTCCTTGGATTAGGTGCGTTGGCAGCAAAAATTGGCGCAGAAGATCTGGATGTGGAGGGAAGCCGAGTATTGCTTCCATCCATCCAACAGAAGCAACAAGCATCACCGTGAGGTTAAGGAAACAGTATCATCATCATCAGTGAAATGGTCCCCAAAAGACCAAGAAGGCGGACGAAACGCAGCTTGTTCTCGTTATTGCTGGGCTTGGGGTTTCTGTGGGTGGTCCTTCAACTAGGGATCTTTCGTCAAGCGACGGTACGGTTCCAACTTAGTCAACTGTATCGACATCTTCTAGATCACGATACCACAGGAGACTATGATAGAGATGATATTCTGGAAAGAAAAGCATCATGGCGTCCACAACCGATCAAATTTACAACCAACGAGACCCTTAGCGACTACTGCCAGACCAATGGATCGCTGCACGAGATTGCCCTGCAAATGGCCCATTTCTCTGGTTCCGAGCCGTACCAAAAGACGCTTCGAATTCTACAAGCATCTCCCTATTACTTTGTATATCTACATGATCGTGGTATCTTCGACAATGTGGCAGAAAACATGAATGCCATGTTGAGTGGCTGGGGATTGAAACCCTGGCCTTTGGACGCGACCAAGACGTTCCTCTTGGTGGAAATTTCCTTTTTTGCACGCAATTCTGGCTTCGACTACATTTGTCGTACCACTGTCAATTGCTCCTCTCCTACAGTGCCTCGCATCATTATTCAGTCGGAGCAGTTGGCTCAAGTTGGAAATGACTATCTTCCCTATCTCAAACAATGTCATGAGCTGCCCCTTTGCGTCATTTGGGACTTTTCAGACTATCATTGGCAATGGCACCAACAACACAACCTATCCGATTCAGTCTTGATCTTGCCCGTCATGCATCAGTCCTTGTTGGGACGATATTATGACCATGCCCAACAAATGATACCGTTGGCGAACCGTCCACTAGATGTCGTCTTTTTTGGTGCCATGAATCCGGACCGACGTGCCGCACTCTTGCGACAATTCCAACAAGCACCACAACAACTTGGAACCGCTCCCAATCGTTGGAAGTTCGAGTACAATATGAATCGCTCGATTATCAAGGAATCGTACACTCATGCCAAGGTCTGTCTCATTGTACATTCCTATGCAAATCAGAGTGCGGGCGAATACCATCGACTGCAAGAGTTGGCCGGAAGTGGGTGCATTCCCATTGTGGAACAATTCACCGATACCGTTGGCATGCGGGCATATCAGGAGTGTGGAGGGGTCGTTTTTGCACCCAACTACGAGGCAATCCCAACGACTCTTCGTCATGAGCTACTTCATCGCAATACGCACCATGATGAGCCCTCGGCACGACAACAGCAGGAGAGACGCGTACTCTGGTGGAGCCAAACGATTCGATGGGAACAATTGTTGGAAGATATGTACCATCATCATCATGGGTGAGCAGCACGGATCCTGGAGCAGCAGCACAGGTTAGAGGCCATCGATCGCAGCCAGGAGCAAGCACACCAAGAAGAAACGACCAGTGTTTGTTGGCCTGTGGTGCCAGACCTACCTGGTTGTGCATTGGAACCGAATGGGAGGAACGGCACGTGAGCAAGGGTTTCTGACGACGTACCGTACAGCCCCTGCACCACACTCTTGTTTGAGATCCAGTGGTCATGTCGAATGCAGGCGGTACTGGCCGCCAGAGTGCTCGATAGCTACTGTAGAGCATCCCGGTACATCTACAAGTCGGACCATCAACCCCAGCTTGGACTGTCACTCGACTAAGTGACTTGCTCTTGCATTTGGCTGATGGCCGCAAATACGTACGACTGCTGCAAAATCTTGCCAAAGAGAAAAGAGACGCATACATCTATAAGTCGAAACATCAACCGAAGTGTTGGACTGGCTGGACTTGCTCCTGCCTCCTGCATGGCTGAGCTGCTGATGCACGATGCACAATACGTACGACTGCAGCAAAGGCTTGTGAAAGAGAAGGGAAGCACCAAGCTTCAAGCACCTGCATAAATCACAATCTCAAACAGTGCAAGTGGACAACTTCCACTGGCCGTTTTGGGTGGCAAAAGTTGCTATGATGACATGGTTGATGGTGATATAGTAAAAGAGTCCTGAAGGCCCCTGAAGCCCTGAAGGGCTGCACGCTTTCGGGAAAAGGCATGTGAAGCTATCGATAGGGGTTTTCCATTGAGCGTGGCAGCGTGACAGTGTTTTCCTTCTCGCACACCTCATCACCTGGACTGCGTGTGCCTTGAGACTACCGATGAACCAGCTTTTGGCCACTTGCTCCTTGCATAAATCTATTTTGAAAGGCTTTGCTTCTACTCTCTGAGTAGGGTAATAGACTGATAGTACGAGGTACTGTATGTTTTTACCGGTACCAGCTTGCTGCTTGCCTGATCATGCAACGGGACCGAGAATTGTTCAGAGAGACCGTCGAGCCGAAAGTTCAGTGGCCGCAGTTCCCTTCGAGCTTCAAGGTTTCGTTCGTCTCGACTTGCCACAGTATGCCGGCTTCTATTCATGTTGCGAAAGTGCACTGTATGATGCACAGCTTAGTTTGTGCGTCAGAGTTCAGAAGTACTTCATCTACAGCGTACAGTGGTAGTACCGTCGCTCCTGTAAGAGTGAGGGGCAGAAGTGAACATCGGATGTAAGCAGATTCAAGCAGCACCAGCTGTCTTCCTCATAGTTGAACGTCACTTGCTTGCTCGCAGACTCGACTCGCAGAGGCACAGAGGCTTAGTACGGTAACTGTCCACTGTCCACTCCTTATTCCTTCACCATCTTGGAGCCCCTAAATGAATCCAGGAATTCCCCAACTCCTTTTGAGGATCACGGGAATCAAGACCTGTTTAGTCATGAACATGACAGGATTAACCTTTTTGAATCACTAGACCCCAAACTAACTCAATATCAAGAAGGCTAGTTTGGGACAGTACTGGGGCTTCCTGACTGCTCTATTCTGCTACTCATTCCTGTTCAAAAACAAGCTGATTTCGGTATAGAAAACTTTCTTACTAAGCTTCTAGATCAAGCAGGTTAGTATTTGGAATTACCTCCAGTGTACCTGGGCCTTTCTATCCAACTTGCTCAGCTCAGGACTCTTAAAATTGCTTGGTTTGGATGAAATAATCGAGATGGTGATCACTGTTTTTTAAAAGGCAAAAGAATTGCAGATTTAGGCCCAAGTTTGGAGCATTTTCATGGTGTCAGATATGCATAGTATTAATAGTAGAGGTCTCCATACCGGGAATAAGTTTGTGATACTCGAAAGTTTCAGTGCAAGAGAATTTATCTGTTTCTAAATCTCACTTTCCTATACCGAAGAAGCTTCTTAAAAACAGGTTTGGAGTTCACCAATATTGAGAGTTTACCTGGAACCCTACAGTCGTAGTTTGATCCCCCATATAACCTCTCGTTTGGGACTTCTTTTGAAGCCTTGGGAGTTGGAGAGTTTATGGATGGTTTCACAGAAGCACAAAATAGATTATAGGTTATAGGAACACACCAGATTCGTTCTCCTGAACTGTAAAATCTTACGATTATAGAAAAGGAACAATTAATGGGAACAATGAGAATAGAAGGTCTTGTAGTTCTTAAATAAGTTCTCCGATGCCTTCTTTGCTCCGTGAACATGTTGCATATTGACCGACCGCTCTACGCTGCTGCTGACTCTGCACTCACCCTGCCTGAGCTTGCCATGGCGCTGTTATATTATAAAGCACAGACCAAAATCCTTTTGGTTGTCAAATAAATTAGATTGTACTTGTACTGTACATTACACCTTCATCAGGAGCAATCAACTGCCATGACCAGCATTAGCACTAGGTGTAGTGCCGACATGAGCCAAGAGCATCAAAATCTGGAGGAAATGGAGGCTGGGAGTCAAGAAATCAGCATGAGAACCCGTGATGACCATGGCGGTACCGCGTCGGCGTTACGCGAGGAAGTGATGGCAACGACGGCTTTCTGTAGTGCTTCACGTTGCGATGATGATGAAGATCACCATGATCAGGTAGAAGAAGAAGAACAGCTACGTTGTCAACAGCAACAAGCTGTATCGTCAGCGGCATCGTCGTACTGCGGCAGTGGCTTTTCCAGCTGCGACTCGTCGATGGTGAACTCGACAGCGACGCCTCCTCTTCCTGAGATTGAGTTCAACGAAGGTGGTGAGAACGCTGATCAAAATCAAGATGATGTACGACCCTCTCTGATGCGACGATCCAATCACGAAGACTCGGACCTGATGCTCAAAATTGTCCACGAACGATTGTCCTTGCAAGACATGCTGCAAGTAGAAGAGCAAGCCGTAGCAGCTGCCACTTTGGCGTCCGTGGCGAATCTTCCTCTTCCGCCTCCTCTTCCACCTCTGCCTCTTCCCCCATCCGAGCTGACGTCGTATCCAGCAATGGCTCGTGCCGCGGCTTCCGCGAGTCAATGCGGTGCAGAAGACAATTATTATGTCGATTGCAAACCAGGCCAACATCGACCACCCATCACGGCGGCATCCGCTTCCATGGTCGATTCGTCCGACGCTACCATCCATAGCACTACTACTACACCCGCAGTAGCGCATTCCAAGACAGTGGGTGCATTTGCTTGCGCACCCAGTGGAAATGAGACGGCTTCCACGTCCGATCCTGAAAATTCAACAGATTTGACGCCCGACGAAGAAGTGGCAGTGAGAGCAGCCGCACGACGGGGCTTTTCATCCAGCGTTTCCTCGTCCGTGGCTGCATTGGCCATTGCCGCCGAAGTTGCTCCGGAAATGCTCGACTTGGAACGAACCATTACCGAACGAGTGCGACGAGAAATCTCGGAAGAAGTGATCCGAAATTCCTCTGCCGATACCACGGTGATTGCCGAAATTGTGTCCCTCGAAGACGGGGATCTGCTCCGTCATCGTCGTCGCAAGAGTCGGAAAGAACGAATAGCACAACAGAAACGATTGAGGTGCCGAGCAGCGGCGGCAGTGCTGCTGCTGGTGACGATGGTGGTGGCGGTCGTGGTCATGGTGGCGTGTTTGAGTCGAAACAGTAATGGTCCGGAGTCGGACGTTGACCCCAGCGGGTCCTTCCCCCCGGACACCACCGTACTCGCTCATGTCCCACACACGATTTGCTACGAACGAATACCACTCTTGGGGCGCAGCGAAATGTGTCCTCCCCAAGTCAACGGCAGCGGTGTCACCAACTTGATTGCCACCTCTCGCTTATGGAATGTCCGAGAGGCCCAAATCTCCATTCTCAATGCAGGAGAGGTACACAGCGATCTCCCAGCGGGGAGCTTCACCATGGGTCAGGCACGAAAAACGTTGCCCTACTTTGACAACGAGTTGGTCCTCATTCACATTAAGGGTGCCAAACTCATTACCGCCATGGAACGAGGGATTCAAAAGTTGTTTGATGACAAGGCTGCCGCCGGGACGCATCTCAATTCCACCACACCATCCGGAGCGTATCCCTACGGAGCCGGCATTCGATGGAAGGTCAACATGACCCAGCCGTTCCCGCATCGACTATACGATGTGCAGATCAATCCCCGACTCTCCTTTGATTGGGAACCCATCAACTTGCATCAGATCTATCTCGTCGTGACCAATTCCTATCTACAGGCCGGTGGCGATTCCTACCATGAGTTTTCCTCTGCCGAAGACGAACACGTGATTCAGACGGGCAAGTATTCTCTCGAATCGTTTGTGGAGTATTGTGAAATGCGGGGGGTCCTGTTGGATCCACCGCACGACTACTACTCGACGCAAGAGTTCATTCACAATCCGGATCTGTTTGAGATTGGTGAATGTTCCAACACGGAGGACTGTTAATTCTTAATAATAACGTAGCTGCGATATTATTATACAACCATTACCAATACAATAACATGATGCAAGCTATCTCCGTTTTGTGTGTCCACGAAACAGGAACTTGGTGTCATTTGTGTGGGTTGTTTTGTGTCAAACACTACATGTAGCTACCAGGTAGTAGCTAGCTAGCTAGTGGTGGTCATAAAGGTCGAGTACTAGCTAGTACGTCGTGGAAACGAATTTCCAACCGACGTCCTTTCCCTTGCACTACCAGGTACCGGTAGCTGTTTGCTGTGTCACCGTCCGTCATGTGATGTCTCTGCGAAAGAGGAGGGCTGACCCAATGCCACTCGCGGGAGGTGTCTCCCATCAGCCTCAAAGTAATGAGGCCTACCTACAAGGTCTTAGCTGCTAGGAATTGGATGAATCCAATCATCCTGGAGTTTTGTTTCTTGACCAATTGCAACGTCTAAAAAGACTGCATGGCTACCATGATTGACGCAAGAATGTGAGGCCATTACATGTTGCTTGCAAACAAAGATTGCAATCCTTGCTTTTTAGTTAGAATAACATGAAGAATACAGCATGTAGGGTATATACGTACGGTATATATGGCACTGGTCCTCCTACTCTCCTATGACTTCAAAGTAGGCTGGACTCCATCGACCAATAGGAGTCTGTCGAATCTCTTGAATAACAGCCGCAGTAGCGTGGACTTGACTTTGTTCGAACTCCACCAATGCTACAAAGGGTCCAAATAGCGACCCGACATTCTCTAGGTGTTTCAGAACACCCTCGACATCTTTGTAGGATTCTAGACAGCAGAGACGATTGTCTGGACCCAATGACCAAGTGTACTGCAAGCAGGTATCTTGTTCCTTTGAACGGACCTTGGCGACAAACTGACTGACCAGAGAACGCACTTCTTCTAACTTGTCCTGATCCTTGATCTTGTAGGTGGCAATCAGTGTCACCGATATCGTGGCTACTTCTGGAGCATTCATCGTGGCCTCTAACATGTAAAGAAGTTGGTTCGAGCATGCATTGGGTTGCTTGACGCTTGGCTGATTGGCTGAAGCTGCTGAACGTCAACTGAAAATATTTTGGGGGATCTTCTAAGTATCTTCAAAAATTGCGAAAGATGACCGAATATGACTGGATCTTTTTTTGAGACTTGCAATCGCGGTTGAGAAATCTGCTTCCGAGCTCATTCATCTTTTTTGCTGCTATCGCTCCAATACCAAAGAAGTATCAGACGCAAACAAAGATGTTGTTTTGCCGTGGACTCTCTTTCCCTCTGACGGGCACGGCTGTGCTGCTGAGCCTTCTAGTGTCGTCTGCAGTGGCCAGGGATTCCGTAACCATTGGTTATCTGACGGACCTTGTGGCTGTGGCCCACCAAAGTAAGACACCTCGAGAAAAATCCTCCTGTATGTGATCAATCTTCTCACTCATGGCCCTTACACCTTTCTCCATGATAATTGTCTATATGGTATTTCTACAGTTGCCATTGATAAAAATTACTATGAAGACTTGGACTTGGATGTGGAAATGGTCTGGGTAAGAAAAAATGGATGTTATGTTTTTATCATCGGAATGCTACTAATCTTATTAAGCCTCTCTTCTACCATAGTATCCTTCTGGGGATGCCATGATCACTGATGTCAATGGAACCTGGGATATTGGCAGTGCCGGTGTAGTCTCCAACATTCTTGGGTAAGACTTCTATTTTCGCTCCCCAAGGCTTGTCGCCATTGTCGCCATCCTTTTTTACTAATTTCCTAGCACGTGACTGCTCTCATTATGGTTCTATCAGAAGCCAACGAGAAGGTTTTCTAGGTGTGGGTATTTCCATGGATGCCAGTGCCACCAACCAATTGGTGGGAACCCAAGCGGCTGTAGAGACGTGGCCTCCCGAGTCCATCGCCGGTAATGTTTGTGTGCTTCCCGACTCGACCGAGCAATTTGTCGTGGAAAGTTGCCTGAAGAGCCAAGGCTACGCTATTGAGGATGTCAGTTTCATCTACGCTCGCGATGGAGACTGTCTTGATGCCTTGACGACATCAACAGCCGACTTGGGAGGGTTCTCTCCTCCAGGTCTTTGGGAGCTGTTGGAAACGCTGGAAGGATCCGAAACGATTTGTTCCGGTGCGTCAGTTTATGCCACAGTTGCCAACGGGCACATGGTTCGTAGCGATTTTGCTTTGGCATCTCCCATGGTGGTTGCCAAGGTTCTAGCCGGTTGGCTCCGTGCAGTGAATTTCATCAACACCCAGGACAACTTCAAGGAGACTATGTTGTACATGTCATCTTTCTACGGGGATCGTAGCTTGGAGGCACCCTCTGCAGCGAGTCTGGGACTAGAACTTCGTTTGGTGGGTTTGTTTGGTCTCCAGCTGCAGTTGGACTTGATGGAACGTCGGGGAGAACCACCCTTGTCCAACTATGACATTTGGACGAATGAGGTGGGCGCGTTCCTCTTGGACAAAGGTGCCATCCTGACCCAGGTCGACCCGACCAAGTACATTACCGACGAGTTTCTGATTATGATTAATGAAGACGAGTTCTTGAAAGATTGGGCCACAGGTGGAATGCCAACATTGGCTTCGGGATGCAGCAATGTTCCTGGTTGGGCCGATAGAGATGGAGATGGTTGTGATTTTTATGAGGTTGAAGATGTCAGATGCTTATCGTATGGAAACATTCCAGGTGACGATAACATGACAGCCAATGATGCATGCTGCACTTGTGGAGGAGGCACCCAGCAGTGTACTGATGTCGATGGATGGGAAGATATTGGAGGAGACGGTTGCTCATGGTATGCATCAGATGACAGATGCGAGCAATTTGGCGACTTTGCCTCCTTTGCCGGTATTGATGGCACAACGGCAAGTGAAGCCTGCTGTGTCTGTGGAGGAGGAAGCTCCGGAGGCTCCGGATCACCAACTCAAGAAGAAGTCGGCGGTCCTATTGGGTTCTGCGAGGACATCTCCAATAGCTGGTGCGATATTTATGCGGATGGAGACTGTTGCCTTCAAGACTGCTCTGCAGAAATCATGGCTGCGGCGGTCTGCCACACCTTTGTAGTGACTGGCGAAGACAATTCAGATTGTCCTGTTCCAAGCTGCCCTTCATCAGGCTCCCCTGTGTTGGGTACAAAACAGTTTGCAGATTTCTTTGATCTGGATTTAATTGAGTTTGTTTGGCGGGGCGTGCAATTCAATGCGGAAGCTCTCCAGGATAATTGTCCAGATGAATGGAATGGCTTGGTCCAGTGCGTTATCCAAGATTGTCCAAATTTCATCGAAGTGTGTCCTGGTGCGTTGCAGAGGTCACTTGTCGAATGAGGTATCATCAGGTTATCCTCTTGCTCATTGCTATATGTTTTATTCTATGATCACAGACATAGAATTGACGACTGAAGAAGAAGAAACGCCTGCCCCAATCGATCCAGTTCTTGATGACGTCCCCACATGTGCGCAAATCGAGCAGGACTACTGTGGAGTATTGGAGGAAAACCCTGACTGTTGTGTTGATGATTGCCTCGCAGAAGTCCACCTTGCAACCACTTGTGTTATCCTTGAGGAGACCGGCGAGGACAGGAGTGATTGTCAGGTGCCGACTTGCACAAGCTCCATGGCGACGAAGGGCTCTGGTTCTTCTACCGCCAAGCAGGCGGGTGGGTTTATTGTCCAGTATGGTGGCTACAGCTACAGCTCGGACACTGCAGTAGAGAAATGCCCAGATGAATGGGCTTCCATGTTCCGTTGCCTCATCAACAGTTGCCCCAATATCATTGACGTGTGTCCTGGTATGTTTTGTGATGCTTGGTGCTGGCCTTGTATGGCATGGTGCTGTTGCCTCCAGTTGTTTCGCTCATGGACTTGACCGGTTTCGTTTTCTTCCTTAGATGTGTTTTCCGAGCAGGTGCCAACCACAAAAAAAACCAAAAGCTGGATTCCTGGTGGGCTTCAATTCTGGCCTTAGTCACGGTGCCGATGTTACAAATGCTAAATCCTTTATTTGTCGCGACAACATACGACGTGCATGCTTCGATGCGCTCGTACCGTACGATAGCAAAAGCGAATTGCAAGATTCTAGCTTGTGTATGCAGGTACTCTGACGTCTTCTTCAGAATGAGGAGTCTAGCTACTGGTAACATTTTTAGCTTCATGAATGTCTTCTTCAATCCTCCCCGATAAACACCGCTGGTTGCCGCTGACCCCGAATTCCCCATACGCAGCCCCCAGCGTAGCCTGTTGCCCCCACTCCCACACCCGACAGGGCAACCGTGGTGGCATCTGCAGCGCAAACTGTCAATTTCGGCCGGTATCTGAATGGATTCGTGGCTGGAGCTTTTGACTCTTTCAGATACAACTTCCAGGTGAAATGGCCTGTCTTTGGACATCAGCGAACAGCTACATCACCTTTCAACTTCCACATCACTTCCATATCTAATTGGCTCTGCCGGGGGCGCTGACTTGTAGCTCTCGCCGTATGCTGCGTTCGGGTGGTCGTCCTGATAATCTTCTTTGCCCGCTGATATCTCACTCGCGAACCTGGTCGGCTTGGACGGGGGTGCCACAGCGGCAGATTTTGCTTCTTTGCAACCGGTCGAAACATCACTAACGTCGCTCACAAGCCTCACTGGCTTGGTGGGAGGTGCACTCTCGATTGGAGGAACAATGAAATGGTCCTCTTCTAATGTTGAAAGCTCACTCACTTCACTTGCAAACCTCACTGGCTTTGTGGGAGGTGAAATAGGGATCGGAGCGACGTCATTGTAGTCTTCCAATGTGGACAGCTCGCTAACTTCGCTCGCAAGCCTCAGTGGCTTGGTTGGGGGGAAAGATTGAATTGGAGGATTGTTGTATTGTTCGTCTTCTAACGCAGATACCTCGCTCAAAACCCTGATTGGCCTCGTCGGTGGTGCAAGCTGTGGTGTTATGGAAGGAGGAATGTCAGCGGTGTTTTCCAACTCGCTCACCAACCTTATTGGCTTGGATGGTGGAGAAGATGGATCATTTCGCGTACAAATCTCCAACACAGATTCCTTGTCAACAGATATTTGGCTGACTTCACTGACGAGCCTCATTGGTTTCGTAGGGGGCGACTCCTCTATGGATGCTTCGTCTAATTCAGAGATATCAGTGGCAAAGAAACTCAGCTGGTGCCCACTTGCCATTCGCTCTGGTTTGCAGGGAGGCACCCTGCTTGGAGAGAATTCGGCCTGGCTTTGAGCACGTAGAGGCTTGGAAGGTGGACTGTCAACAAGGCAGTTACCACCCTCGTCACCGAATGCATCCTCGTAACTGCTCCTGGACATTTCCGATGCCCCCAGTTCTGATACAAACTGACTCGTGATTCGTTCTTTCTTGGCACCACGAATACAAAAGCTAATGGAGTCATTGCTACCGGACTGCAGCTGGCCCAGCTCTTCGTCAATGGGGGCCAGCATCATTGGTGAAAACTTGTGTTCTTGTTGCTGCCGTTGCTCATCGTTGTATTGTTGTTGTCGTTCGTTGCTGTTTCCCGCACCACGGTTAATCATGTTGTTGTGTTGTCGGACCGTTGCAGAGGTGCCATCCCTGGAAGATTGCTGTAATTCGTCCGATAACGGGAGACAACGGCAGCAGCAAGCATGGCAATATGCTGCGCCATTCCATATCCAACTCTTGAGCTTAGCTCCCACCCGTGTCTTCATTTGTCGTCGCCCATGGCTGAAGACCAAAAAGTTGAAGACACCTTGACTGGCCAGAAAGAAGTAGCTGGTACGATCCAAAGGGGGATTCCATTCTCCCGAAATAAGGAAAACAAGGACGGAAATTGTGGCAAATCCATACGTCATCAAAAACCCTGCAATGTAGCCTATACCCTGTTTGGCAACAATTTGGGATCGTTTTTTGGATCTAGGACTGTTGGAGGTTGTAGAGTATTGGGTGGACGTGCTGTAGATTCTAGTGGATGGTTCACCATCTTGGTTGCTGTGGTCGGACTCCTCAATTTCTTCACGAGGTGGTTCTGCAGCAATGTCTGTTTCTGGATGCTGTTCCTCCAACTGGACTGACTCTTCTGCCTGTGCTTGCTCCATTCGTTCGGGATTGTCATCCGTATCATCTGCTCCCTCACTTCGGGGATCATTGGCTCTCGAAGTGGTGGATAAGACCTTTGTGGCGTTTGTACTGTTACTGCTTCGAAGAGCTACATGTTCCACTTCCGCTTCCAGCAATCTTGCCTTTCGAAAAAGGAAAAACATGATAGAAGCATCCAGAAGGATACATGACCAAACGGGAATCACCTGAAGGGATGCAACGATAAAGGTGGCATCCTGCGATTCCGAGGATCCAATCCAGCAATTTGTGCCAGTTGGTTGGTACATATCCAGGGGTATTGGAAGCACGGCCAACACCAGGCAGGCACCCCACATGATAATGGCAATGATAGGGATTCTGGGTAGAATTCTGCGTTGACGCCAATTGTACTGGATCATGAGTAGATACACCACAGCCAGAGAAGCACTAAAGAGTAAGGATGCCATGTATCCCAGGTGCAGGATAAAGCCCTGAAAAACACAGAACCCTTTGCTCCCAAAGTTGGCCCACGAGCCCAAGAACCAGCCACTGTTGAGTATAGTAAAAAGGATTTATTCAGTAATCAGATGTATGAGATCAAAACAAATCTAACAAGCTGACTGATACTGTATCCACATTCCCTATCTTGCCGACTTACAAAGAAAAGAGGATATCCCCAACACTCATAGACAACAAGACGCGAGATACAGCACCAACAGCTTTGAAAGTAGTGGATCGGGCACCTCTCTGTCGACCATCCTGCAGCACCTCGGCAATGATTAACCCACTACCCAACATGCTAAATAAAGCTGCAATTTTGGGGAGATAATACTCTGTAAACGCCGTCATGGCTAATCTTTGCTGCTGAAGCCAGTCTTTCGGGCTCTTATAGTGACTAGCTATCTAGAAGAAGTGGGGTGCTTTTACGAAGCTATGATTCTGGAGAGCAAAATGAATGCTGAGCGCTTTTCGCAACACTCTTCGTTCATCAGCATGCAGCCATCATACGCAACAGCCTCTACAACTGCAAATCTTCGGCCAGCCTCGAGCTCTGCGCGCTCAAGTCTCCTTCCATAATATCCACGTCTATTAATACCTCAGATTTACTACTGTAAAATTGTTTGATCGCTTACTCCAAGAGTACCGCTACTATCGACCGAAGAGTGGATGGTAAATTGGTGACAGTGCCAGGGCTGTAACGACCATCTCAGAGCCGGATCATTGCCCTTACTAGCACTTGAACCCTTCTGAGCTGTTTGCGTGACCTCTAATTCATGGATAGACGTAAGGTACCTCCCAAGATTAGTTTGGATTTAACAAAAGGACACCGACACAAGCCCTGTGCGTGCATCAAGAATCCAATGAATCAGAAATCAGAAGGTTCTGGATCTACTTGGGGCTTCTAGCTTCCACCTTCTAAGTACAAGCTATTTTTAATGTCATACAACATACAACATTATTTTTGATTTCAGGGGGGTTTAGAGTTTAGAGTAGGGAAATTATCTACGGAAGCATACCGGTACGATGTACACGAAAGCTCATCTCCTTGTCCAAGTTGAAAGTTGCCAGATGGAGCTCCATGTTTGGTGTTTGGCTTGGTCTGGTTGCAAGCTAACGACAGAAGCACGAGATTTTGATCTGGAGAAGCCTGGATGGATTAGCTTTGCTTTGCATCTACTAGCTTGCAAGCTAGGTAGGGATGCAAGGTTTGATTCTGGCCGTGAAGTTCCAGGTGTTGTGATGGTGTATTATTTTACTGGTCGTACCGAGATGGCTGCCAAGAGAATACATCAGCCGAGGCCAGGCTGCAACCTTAGGATAGGATGCGCATGCAAATCTCCAGTACTGTACCGTTCACCGGGCCGTGCCGGTACCGTTACGGTAGCGGGATCGTAGGCAGAAACCATTTTTTCGTGGCCACAATAGCTGTGTCGACGCCAAGCCACAGGACCTACCGGTAGTGTACCTCCTAGTACCTCCTACTCCTGGCTGGTCCTACCGGTAATCCAAGGCCTTCACGCTCGCCTTTCTATAGTCTATCTTCGTCAAATTGATTGAAAAGGCGAAAGGAGAAAGTTTACTAGTATCGGTACTGGTACTTGCTTTGGTTTCGTCTTCAAGGTTTGTTCCCGCAAAATAAATACACTATTGTAACTATGCTCTAAGTACCGTCAGTATTATTATCCAGCATATCTTTGGATCTTTCAGTTCTTCCGCGCTTCCACCCGCCACCTCTGCATGCGTGGCTCTCGTGTCCCCGCTGGCGCAATGAGCTACCAGGTACCGCCGTTCTCTCTGGAACCATGCCCCAATTATTTTGGGAAATTTGTGTAGCCTCTCGTTGGTCGAGGAGTGGAGGGAGCGGTGTGTCGGGTTGCTGGCAGTGGCGAATGCAGCAGAAGAGAGGTAGCCAGGATGTATGTTTGGTGTCTGGCTTGGTCTGGGTGAAGGATAGAAGCACGATATTTGGAAATGGAGAGGCCTGGATCGATTTGCTTTGCTTTGCTCTGCATTCGCAAGGTAGCTGTGGATGCAAGGTTACTACCGGCCGTGAAGTTCCAGATGGTGCTGTGATGGTGAATTATGTTACCAAGATGACTGCCAAAAGATAACAGTGGTGCCGAGGCCAGGCTGCACTTTAGGATGCGATTGCAAATCTCTAGTGGTACAGTAGCTATGGGATGGATAGGCAGAGAACTTTCGATGCATTCGGCTGCGACTGCTCGCCTTTCTATGCTTCCTCAAGTTCATTGAAAAGGGGATAGAAAGGAGGACGCTTCACATGAAGTATTTGCTGTGGTGTTTTGGTTTGGTCTTCGAGGTTCGATTTTGCAAAATAGCATTATACTGACAATATGCTCTGAGTACCGCCAGGGCATAAGGGTCAGATCTTTTCTGATTAATATTATTATTATTACTAGTACTATGCAACATATCTTTGGATCTTTCAGTTCTCCCGAGCTTCCACAATCGCAAGTTCCTTGCTCCCCACTGCTGTCAATAGTCAACTAATGGTAATATATAACGATGATGCTGCAAAGGATTGTATATCTCTACGTGAGCCTACTGCTCAGTTCTTACCCGGGACAATGTCTGATGATGAGCGCTTCTGCTTCCTCGACGCCAGCCAAGAAACTGGTGATTGTCACGGGTGGTTCGCGTGGCATCGGCCGTGCCACTTGTGTTTGGTTGGCCTCCAAAGGATACCAAGTAGCCGTCAATTATAATAATGGCGAAGAAGCTGCCCAAGAAGTGGTGGCTGAAATTGAATCCGCCGGAGGATCTGCCAAGGCTTTTCAATGCGATATTGGAGAAGAAACACAAGTGGAAGAAATGTTTGAAGACGTCATGGGACACTTTGGGATGCCACCCACCGGATTGGTGGCCAATGCTGGGATTATGGAGGCCAGTAAGTACAACATTGTTAATTTGGTGATGGTGATCTTTTTATTGAGGTTCAGATCCTTGTTCGCCCTGAAGCTAAGCACGCAACTCACTGTCTCCTGCTCTTTGATACCACTATGCATTCTCATAATACATAGTGGAAAAGGATATCCGAAAGGTTTCTACCGAAACACTGGAGCGGGACTTGAAGGTCAATACCATGGGTACCTTCTTTTGCACGCGAGCGTTTGTCAAGCACTGCAGCGTCAACAACGAAAAGGGAGGACAAGGAGGATCCATTGTCGTAGTCAGCTCGGTATCGGCAGAGTCGGCACTGATCCTAGCCTACGGCATGTCCAAAGCAGCGCTAGAAGCCATGGTGAATGGATTGTCCAAACAATTGCCATTGGAGGGAATTCGAATCAACACGATCATTCCGGGGCTGATTGATACCGGCTTGGCAGCCCCAGAAATTATTGAAACCATGAAAGGATTCATCCCTCTCCGTAGAGCAGGCGATCCAACCGAGGTGGCTCAGGCCATTGAATTCCTGCTATCCGATGCTAGTTCCTACTGCAGTGGAACCAAACTAAAAGTTTCGGGTGGATTGTAATACCGGTACTGGTAAGAAACAGTTCATTTGTCACGCATGGATTCAATTCCATGATACAACAAAACACGATAATCTGAGACCGACTGGCTGGCAAGAACAGCCACGGTACTACAGCTACGATAGGCGACGGTGAGTCCGGAGACTAATTCATTACTTTTACCAGCTAGCAAAATTTGACAAGCAAATCCACAGAAACTGTTCATAGATGCCGGCCGCCCCAATGGTCCTTTCTTGATAGCAGTAGTTGTTTGTTTGCTTGCTTGCTTGCTTGCTTGCTTGTTTGATTGTATTTGATTTTTGAATACAGCAATCCACTCCATTGCACAGACTCAAGGGCGCTTTGGAAAGTCAATGAGAGGAGCTCATCATCCGAATCGCTGTCGTTGTCCAGCAAGGGACCACGCTGCTCATAGCCGTCATTGCAGCCTGCATCGGGCTCCAAAATAGACAAGTTGGTGTGAACTGACAATCCACGCGGATGCGACCCTCTCGATGGGGTGCTGTTGTTGCTGCTGTCTGAGAAGATGAACTTGATGTCGATTGTCGGTTTTGACAAGCAGCTCTTTCGACTCCACGAGAAGAGGAGCTGGTACGCCCACCACTTCCAGTGCCCTTGTTTCGGTTCTTGTACGGGTTTTGAATCACAGGAACGCCAGTAGGATGAGGGATAGGGACAGGTGCCCCACTGCTTGATGTTCCATTTTCAAACCAAGCATGTGCCAATGCCAGTCGCTTGCACTTCACCTCTGGAACCAAGAGAACCCGGAAAAGAAAAGAGTCATCATGGTTGGCAGATGAGAGCATTTCCAATGGCAATCAGAGTGCACATGCGTTTCTCATAGGTTTGCTCCAATGCCTCCGTTTCTCCCGTTTTCTGTTTCAAGGACTTAATCTTCGGTTCCATTTCCGTGACATCGTTCTTGATGCGGTCACGTTGTGCCTCTAGTTGTTGCATGTTTCGGGCAGGGGACTGGGCTTTGTTTTTGGCCACCTCGTACTTGCCTCGAAGAACCTCTACTTAAGTTTTGAAGTTCTTCTTGCGTTTGGAGATTTGTTGGGAGTAGACGTTCAGCTTTGCTTTCATGACTTGATCGTTATGATCGGGGGTCCGAAGACGAGGATCAGTTTTGATGAGATTGGTGCCGTCGGCAAAAGGGACCACCCCTCCATGCTCCGTTGCTGGTTGATACCGGTGCATGTCCTTGTTGCCTTCATCAAAGACACGTGGAAAACAGAGATCGCTTCAGGAGAATACTTGTTCTCGAACTGCTTCATTGCGGTATTGGCTGCTCCAGCTGCCATTGGAGTGGCGATGATACGACGACTAGTAGTAGCATCGTCATGGTCGCAAGCGGGAGACGACGAGGCAACACTTTGACTGCCATTCATCATTGTCGTCGCCTTCTTCGACTTTTTTGTTGACTGTCACCTGCATGCATGGTCATGAAGTGCCCGCTAGCTTGATCTAGATTGTCTAGCTGCTCTAGCTAGCTACATTTAGCTATGCATAGCTAGACTCGACTCTAGCAAGTACATAGTTCGAAGCGCACCGGTCATGGTGCAGAAGCCTTTAGCCTTATCCCAAATGTTGATACTAGCTACTCGCTCGGCTCGGGACGGGTACCGTACCGGTAGCACAGCGCCAATATTGTTGTATGATAGCGTTCTTATCGCCTGAAACGAAGCGTGAGCTCGCTGTTCTTCTTCGGGTTTCCTTCCTTTTTAAGGTAAGGTGTTCTGTTTTTTAAAATAAAAGTTAATGCTAACGAGACTTGTATTGCAGAGAAAAAGCATTAATATCGAAATGCACTCTATTAATAGTAGGGAATCCAGAAAGTGGCATCAATAGAAGCGAACCACAGATCTCACGCTCGCGAATAATGAATCGCGATCCCTTCCCGCTGTACAGCTTCTTGACTGACGCCACAGATCCTCCCATCGCGTTTGTGTGTGTAAAAGGCCAGTGCAACAGCCGCGCTGTATCATCAACAATAAATACAGGCGTGCTAGCACCTTAGAACTCTAATAAACTCAGGAGTCTAATAAACTCAGGAGTAAAAGTACATGTAGTATGCCACGGTTGCCTTACCTCCCCAAAGCAGGAGCCCTGCTGAGCCTGTTGGGTAGTGGCTTGATCATCGCTGAGGTGATTCAGGACAGCCGTCAGCGCGGAGCCAGTGGAAACATAAGATATGTTGCGTTTGGGAGTGTTGGTGCTGTCTCTCAAGTCTTGTTGTCCATGAGTGCTGGGGATATCCTCTTTTCATTGTAAGTCAAGAGATGGTAACTTGGTGACAAAGACAAGCCAGGGATTGTTGTCTCAGCTTCCTTCATGCATACTCTCTCTCTTACAGAGGGTGGTTCTTGGCATCTTGGGCAGTGCGCTGGAGCAAAGCGATCTGTGTCTTTCAGGGCTTCATGATTCAACTGGGATACATGGCATCCTTGCTCTCAAATGCCTCACTGGCAGTGGTTTATCTTCTCATGATCCACTACAGTTGGCATCAACGCAGGATTCAAACAAAAATTCCCTGCATGATGCTCATCTTGTGGAGTTTCTGCCTTTCCGCAGCCCTGGTTCCCTTGGCCTTAGATATGTATCATGATGCTGGCCCAACTTGTTGGATTGCTGCACAGGATGGCACACTTGATTCCTCTTTTTTAGTCTTTTCATTACAACTGGTTCCTATTTGGTCCTGCATCATTTTGGATTCTGTGATAATGTTTCTCATTTTTCGAAAGACACGGCTGCTGGAAGCTCAAGTGGAGCATGCTGATCATTACCAAGAAAGTCTTGATCTGCACACAGAAACTGAAAACGATCATCCCGCAATGACAGCTACTGGTACATGTAATATTGTCCCAAACAGCAAGAAACAAATTGATTTATCTTTTCTCCCAGATGTAAATGCAAACCATTTGGGAGGAAGCGAGTGTTTGGGGGACAGTGAGAGCCATCATGGAGTGTTCAGCTTTGTAGAGTTCACCCCCTTTGATCCATATCCCATGTTATTCCCCTACCAAGATGAAGCAGGTGGATGTGAGATGAATACCTCTCGAAGCATGTTTATAAGCAGCATTGTGTCCCATACTTCAGGAGCCCATGATCCCCGAGAAGACCAGGAAGAACATGTTGAAGATTATAGGATTCCACTAGAAGAGCAAGTATCAGTCCAGTTGGAGGAACAGCACCCAGAAACAGCCATCACTAGAGAACCACCACAAGGCAAAAGGGTGACATCCAACCAAAGTGACAACAACATCCACCACATTGAACCATGCACTAATATTTACAGCGCGTCCACTTCTGAGTGCTCTGCTGATTCTACCCCCAACAGCAACAGGCCCCGATCACACAAGCGATCCCAAATTGTTGCCCAACAAGGCATGTGGTACATTGCTGGATTTTTTATGACGTACGGAATTGTCACCATTTCAGTGCTTGTTTTCCTTATTTCGGGGGAGTGGAATGAACCACTTGATCATGCAAGCTACTTCTTCTTGTCTTGTCAGGGTGTCTTCAACTTTTTGGTTTTCAGTCATGGGCGACGACAAATGAAGACGTGGTTGGGGGCTAAACTCAAGAGTTGGATATGGAAAAGTGCCTCATACTGCCGCAGTGTTTGCCACCTCTTGAAGCAACTGACTTTATGTCCCTCACTTTCAAGTGAACTGGAGCAATCCACCCAGAATCATGCCCAAAGACGCAACATAACTCAACACGAAGTATTTAACAACGAATCACCCAACAGCAAGTCTACACCAGCAACAACGCTGGCCCGCATCGATGAAGAGGCAGGCCAGCAGCAAACGCTACAGCCGCCAATATCTGGCGAAGAAGGCCGGATTCAAGATTCCGAAGACCAAACTGTCGTGGGTCAATCTGTTTCTGAAGTGCTAGTATTGGGAATGAATGGCACCAGTGATGAGGATGTGGCACCTGGTGAATGAAAAGGATCCATTTCTGAAGCTGGAGCATTCGGCTTGTAGGCAAGGGTTTCTGCGTAAGTTTCGTCTCATCACCAGCTCGAAATGACGGCTGTATTCAGCGACTCGGACTCAGGTCAACTCATCTAGTTTTTGTCCTTTTTCGCTTTACTACTTCCCCGTCATCATCATCATGTTGGCAATCAGACCCAGCAACAGTACGTAAATGCTCTTTTTGACCATGGATTGCTGCTTGTCAATCTCATTGTTACCAGAAAGAGCCGCCCACAGGCACATGACGGTAGCGGACCCCCAGGTCACGGAATACAAGAGGGGACTGGCACAAAAGGAACGACGGTAGAGCGGCGTTTGCAGCACAGCCAGAGTGCCGCCCAATGCCAGCATGCTGATGCGTTGCGTCAACGGGATGCCCAAGACGATGGGAAGCGTCGATTTGGTCCCTTTATCCAATTCGACATCTTGAATATCCTTGAGTACTTCGCGAACGACGCCGAGGGCAAACCCCGCGACGGCCAAGAGCGTCATTTTATGATTCTGGATAGTGCTGGTTGTCGTGGCCAAAGTCTTGGCACCCCACAGTGGCGAGATAAAGAGCCAGCCCACCAGAAGGTTTTTAATGAGAAACAGGTTCTGTAGTCCGGCGGCGTAGAGCAGCATAAAGACGAGATTGGAAGCACACCAGAGACTGAATTGGGGCGATGCCGCTCGTACCCCGAACTGCGCCACCGTCATGGCTAGAACGGATAAGATTCCAGTAAAGATCCATCCCTGCTTTACCGTGATTCGCCCACTGGCAATGGCTCGTTGACTCTTTTTCGTCTTGCTGGTACTGCTGATTGGTACTATGTGATTATTGTCGCCCCGTGATTGGCTGGGGGTATCATTTTTGGCAGCCGCGTCGAGTGCCGCATCGGCACTGTCATTGGCGACCATTCCGACTCCATAGGACAGATAGACGGCTGCCATGGCCGCGAGTTCCTTGCCAATGCTGATGGATGAGGGTGACGAGGCTTGAATCACTAGCAACCGCCCCACCATCCATGCTCCAACCGCCTGGAACAGCGTAATGGGTCGCATGAGTGACAGGTAGTCTTGCAACCGAAGAAAAAATGGAGGCTTTTCTTCTCTCGACGTCTTTGCGGTGGAGGTTGACAATGACAGCAAAGTGACATGCTCATTATGAGTATGCAGCCGAGGATGGTTCAAAAAGATTCTCGGTCTTGGCTCGCATATTTTTGATGATGGATACCTTTCTACCGATACCAGTAAGTGAACAATGAAGGCATCGGTAGATCCACAAGCAATCGCAACCAATATCCATGGCAGAAGACTCAAACAGCGAATCATCGTTGGTCCAGATAGAGATTACGGTTGGTATAGAGAAAGGTTTTGCTTCATGGTGGCAGCGAGTGTTGTGACGTCTGTGGGTTGAAAACAGAGGGAAATCTTCGCTTTGTCCTCGACCTTTACAAGTGAGGTACCAGGTACTAGTAGATGCGGTAAAGTATAACAAAAGCTTCAGTCGGACAAAAGCTTTAACCCTATATTTACCGCAACTACTGTTAGTTTTTCAGTCGTGAGATGCGGTTTGGTTTGTCCATTCCTACGGTATGTACTCACGTAGACGTGGTAGCCGTCATGGATGTGTTGCGGGAATACCTGATTAATATTGATTTCTTTTGGAAGAATGCCTGAAAAAAGAAGAATGATTGAATGGAAAGAACGACACAATCTGGAAGGATCTACTTCAACTTACGTAGAAACTAACTGCAGTACTGTACTAAGTCACGTAACCGGAAGAATGACACAATCTGGAAGATTCCTGGAATAATTAATTGGATCTATGACGCAAAATGGAAGATTAACCAAAACTCTCTGTGGACCAAACAGAACTGCCGATTCCCCGCAACTTTAACCAACCAAAGATTTGCTTTCTTGATCGAAACGGAGTACCGCAGGGCTTCAGCTTCTTTGCGCTATTGTCATTTTGATCTCCTGATGATCCTGTTCGAGTATGCTTCCACAAAGCACCCCACTTCTATACCGTAGTCAGTAAACTCGCAAGCTTGGCTTCAGTACCGTAGCAAGGTTAGCCATGGCGGATTTCACAGAGACTGTATCTGAAGGCTTCATGATGGATCCTACTAATGCTACTGGAGGGCTCGACATGAATGAAACTGAATCACAAGACTCGACCGTGTTCGCCACAGATTTTACAGAGTATTATCTCCCCCAAATTGCGGCTCTATCCAGCATGTTGTGTAGTGGGTTAATCATTGCCGAAGTGCGGGAGGACGGCCGACAGGGAGCTGCCCAATCTACTACTTTCATAGCTGTTGGTGCTGTGTCTCAAATCTTGTTGTCGATGAGTGCTGGGGATATGCTCTTTTCATTGTAAGTCAAGAGATGTGAACTTGGCAAAAGGCCAGCCAGGCCTGTTTTCTTGGCTAGCTCCTCACGTACCATTTCCCCTGCAGAGGCTGGTTCTTGGCTTCTTGGGCACATTTTGGTGGGAGCTGCATCTTTCAGGGCTTAATAATTCAACTGGGATACATGGCATCCTTGCTCTTTAGTAGTTCTCTGGCTGTGGTCTATCTACTCATGATCGAGTGCAATTGGGATCAAGGCAGGATTCAAGCCAGAATCCCCTACATGATGCTCATCTTGTGGAGTATCTGCCTGGCCTCAGCCCTGGTCCCCTTGGCATTGCATAGGTACCGGTACCAACCCGTTGGCCCAGTCTGCTGGATTCGTTCCCCCAATCCGAAGGATGCCACCTTTATCGTTGCCTCCCTCCAGCTGATACCCGTTTGGTCATGTATCTTTCTGGATTCTGTGATTATGTTTCTCATTTTTCGAAAGGCAAGACTGCTTGAAGCCCAAGTGGATAATGTTGATCAATACCAAGAAAGTCTCGATTCACACACAAGAACAACAGAAGATGATTCAGTACAAATCGATTTACTATCTCTCCCTGATGTGAATGCAAGCCTTTTAAGAGGAAGTGAGGGGTTGGGGGACAGGGAGAGCCATCATGGAGTGCTTAGCTTTGTAGAATTCATGCTATTCGAACCAGTTCCTATGGTATTCCCCTACCAAGATGAAGCTGGTGGATATGGGATGAATATTGATGGAAGCATGTTGATCTCCAGTGCCGTATCCAACACTTCAAGAGCCCATGATCCCCGAGAAGATCAGGTTGATCCTGTTGAAGACTATATGATTCAACAAGAAGAGCAAGTGACAGGACAGCCAGAGGAACAGCAGCCAGAAGTAACCATCACTACAGAGCTACAGCAAGAAGGAAGTTTTACATCCAACCAAAATGACAACACAATCCACCACATTGAACCATCCACTATTATTGACAGTGCCTCCACTGCTGAATCCTCTGCTGATTCTACCCCCAGCACGCCTCGATCACACAAGCGATCCCAAATTATTGCCCAACAAGGCATGTGGTACATTGCTGGATTTTTGATGACATATGGATTTGCCACAATTTCCATTCTTGTTTTTGGTATTTCTGAAGAATGGAATGGCCCCCTGGATCGCACCAGCTACTTCTTTTTGGCCAGTCAGGCTGTCTTCAACTTTTTGGTCTTTAGCCATGGGCGACGACAAATGAAGACATGGGTGGGGGCTACGCTCAAGAGTTGGATATGGAATGGTGCAGCATATTGCCATCGTTGCTGGTGTCTATGTCCCACCCCTGCCCGCCCGAGATTGGTCCCTTTGTGAATCTACCCCTGCAACTCCTACACAACTCAACGGCTACGACTGCGGCGTCTTCACTTGTGCTTTCATTGACTGCCTCCTGCGCAATGACACTCCAACCTTTTCTCAAGAGGACATGACCCAGTACCGCCGATGGATCACTCTGTCCCTTCTTGAGAACCAACTACCCATCGGGTAGCTGCCCTGAGCACCATTTCATTTGCTCGTACCAACTCACACATGTCTTTCATCCTTGGCTCCCAGCCCCGACTGGGAGGGCACTACGAGCTTCTCTGTCAACTAAGGAGAGGAGCCATAGAGTAGTGCAGTAGTAACTTATTCTAATCTAGCAATTCCTAGGTGCTGGGAGGATAGGGGAGCTCTGCTTGCATCTCGTGTTACCCGACCCCTCACAGCACCGGTGGAGATTAACAAACAAACCCCTGCAAAAGTGCCAATCTCTGAACTGGAAGAAGCTTCCATAGAGGAGTTGGAGAGGCCCGTTTGGGAAGCCAGCGAAATATCTGTTTAAGAGGAGGCGTAGACCGCAGCAGTGGTTTTTGCAAGAGCGCTGAGTGTAACAGCTCAAGTCCACGATGGGCTAGCTAGAGCTGGCTCATATCCTCATCTGTGCGCCACTCCTTGCAGCTGCCAACGTCGTACTATCCAAGCAATGACTTTCCTGGGGATTGGTGTTGGTTCCTTTGCTTGCGTGGCGATGGACAGGGAAAACGGAAACCCAGGCAGACATATGATTGGCTGAGAGTACCGCGGTACTAACTAACGACACCATTCAAGTTAAGGATAAGACGGCGTTACTGATGTCATCTTTTCATCATATGCATGTTCAACAGAGCAATCTTTGGCTGGATTACAAGAGCGAAACTCCTTCCAACAAGATTCCGTGACAATGATGTTAAACGGCAGAGTCATCGAAGGGAATGAGATGGAGAAAAACAACAACAATGGAAGAAGAGAAGAAGGGAGGGAGCAGCAGCAGCAGGATGGAGCAACACACAACAGCCAGGGTGAGTTAATGATAGCATGGGCGTTCAAAGTCAGTGGAGACGGTCGCAACAAAAAAGAACTCACATCCTTCAACAACAAAATAAAGGTCAAAGTCGCAAGCGCAAGAAGCAAGGGCAGGCAACTCTTACAGGAGAATCAGCGTTTGAGCCTCTCAAGGACTGTCCCATCTGTAAAGCACGATTTTTGGGATTGCGAGAACCACACAGAGGCCATCACAAACTCTGTTGGAACAATAGACGAACAAGAGGGGTTATTTCCCAAACCACACTCACGACTTTAGCAGAGGAGAGGAGATTAAAGAGACATTTCTCGGCTCCAATTCGGTACTCTGCGGCCAACTTGAATGGCGGTAGTGGATTTTTCAACCCTCGCCCCAGAAAGCGAGTTGCCCAATCTACTAGCAACAAGGAAACGGAAGAGTCTACAATGGATGCAGAAGTGATCACCGAATCTACAACTGTGAAGCCAATTGATTTATGCGACGCTGTCAAGAAGAAGGTGGATGACAGCTCCTTCTGCAATGAACATGCCAAAAAGAAGGCTCCCCTTGCTATGATGGCACTTGCTGGGATAGTTGTTAACAAAATCATCAGGGCCAACCATGGCAAACTCATTCCGTCCTATTTTGACGGCATAACAATGACGGTACCCACTGTCAGGAATTGCGACCCACACTATCATGCCATCATTGGCCAGAAGCTGTTATTAGTGGATTGGAAATCCATGTTTGGTATTGATGTTTGTTGCCCGTGTTGTGGCGAAGGATGCTACCTTCAAAATGTGAGAACCAACTTGTCGAAGAACAAGTTACTGTTCCCAATCTTCGAATTGGATGGATTGCCGAGTTGGTGTATGGTAATGACTATGAAGTGCAACCAATGTAAAGGTTCTTTCCAGGCGAATGACGGCACCATTCTGTGTCAATTGCCTGCTTATGCCTCGGCTGCCTATCCAGTGGACCCAAAATATGCCCTCTCCAACAAGAACAGCCACCTTGGAAGAAGCGCAACAGACGTCTTTGATATGCTTCTTCCCACCTACGGAAATGGCGAACTCTGCAGTCGGCTTCTATTTCAGGTTCAGAACAGGGCTTATTTGGAAAAAGTTGCAAGTTATTACTCTTATTATTCTACAACAGAACAAGGAACAGATAATGATCCGGTGACTCTGCAGCCGTATCTGGAGAAGGATGGGCAGTTCATGCGCTGTTACCCTCCAACCGGTGAGTCCATCAGGGAAGCATACGACGATGCATCCAACAATGTCAATACACCATGGGGTTTGAGTGATCATGAGCGCCACACAAGAGAGATACAGGCAGTGAGGTGCAATTCAATCTTCGCTCAAGATCACACTCACGAGGTCACAAAGAATTACTTTGCCAAGAAGAAGATGGGAGCAGAAGCCATGTGGACAGTATCAACAGAGACTGGTGAAATCGCTTGTGCTGTTCTTGTGCCTTCAACCAAAACTATTCACTTCTCCCATGCAACCAAGCAGCTTGCTTTGAAAGCCCACTTTAAGCCTCGAGTTATGTACAGTGACACATGGCCGTGCAAGAGCGATTACTGGTCTCTTCTCATTGGGGAACAGATCCAAGGCAGATTGGGTCTGTTTCATTTCGTCCAACGAATAATGAGAACACTCCGGAAGCGGCATCATGAGTATTCCACTGCCATGAACATGTTGCTTGCTTCAGTTTACAGGTATAACACCCAGGACTATGAGGCGCTTCTCTCTGCTTTGAAAGCTGGAGCTCTGGGAAATACCAAATACACAGAGGATGACATTTGTGAGCTTGTGTCGAGGTACACCTTTCGCCAACGCTTTGGGAAATACTTACGAAAAGAGATTCTGCCTCCTCAATTGATGCGATCCAAGCTTGAACAATGGTTTAACCGGTTCAAATGCACCAGTAGTGATCCATTGACAAGACCAGCTGAGGGAAGTCTCGACTCCCAAACCAAGCTGCCGCTGTTCACCAGTGAGACCAAAACTGCATGGCTTAATTGCAAAGATAAAGCCGAATATCTCCAAGATCCCTTGCCATTGAATGAAATGTACGAAGTCATTCCACCCAGTCCTAATGCAACACATGGTCTGAATGAGTACTTGTCAAGGAGAGGAGAATCGTGCTTGGAATCATTCCACTTACTCCTTGCGAATTTCGCGAATTGTGGCATGAGAAACACCTTGGCCGACAACCTCAACTTGACTGGAACTGCGCGATTTAACCTCTCTCTCCGTCATAAGCTCCGGCTTGCAAGAAGACCCGCAAATGATTCGGCTGTCATTGATACTCGAAAGAAGATGCCAGCTGCATGGGAAGGAGTGGTGCCATATTTCAACCATTCGGAGCTGTCATGGGTGAACAAAATCGCGACCGATGCCGGTGCAACAACAGTGCCGTTCGCCATGGTGGAGGATCTTCCAGAAGATGACACGGGTGAGCGATATTTCTCTGAATATCTTACTTGGCTCAATGACACAAATCCTTCTTTCGATACCAGCGATCGCTGTTTATGCCATCGTTGCCAGATTCATCTAAATAATCCAAGAATTCAAAATGGCGATCCGCCGGCAGCGCCACCTAACAAACAAACAAATACTACCACGCAACAACAACAACAACAACAACAACAACAACAACAACAACAACCGCCAAAGCCAGTCGAACCAACAGAACGGAGCCCGCCGCCACAAGAAACCCAACAGCAGCAGCAGGAGCGGCAGCAACAACAACAACATCAAATGATGCTCCAATTTCAAATGATGAATTATTGGAACCAATGCGTGCTCGCGGCAACACAACAACAGCAGCAGCAGCAGCAACAACAACAACCCTTCTTCTGTTCTGAAAGGAACAGACTTTACCGGAATACAAGACCGCTGCCAAGAGGACGCCCACCGCATGATCCACATTGTCGCAGTCCAATAAATTATTAGCTAGCCATAAACTAAGGAAAGCGGATGGAAAAAAATGGAGAGGTTCAAATCAGAATCCCAGATCCTTAATTGAATCTAGTGCCGGTTGGAGAGGTATTGTGGCGGTTGGAGAGGTATCCTGCGTCTTTTTCATGTCTTTTCGGAGCCTGCACACTCGCAGGTGGGGGGTAGAACGCCCTTTTATTTAATAGCATGACTTATGACTGCCTCTCCCCATATTTTCTATAATACGTTGGGCTTCCGCATGACTGACTTGTGGCAAGAATCGGGAACCCTCTCCTCTTTTTCCCTCTTCTTTCCCCCCGCTGCGCAGCCTAACCCCCCCTATAAGTCTCGGAAAGCTCTCTGCACAATGGAGGCATTGTTAGATTGACAAGCAATCATGATAACTTTTAGGAGCGAGAGCTCTGGATTCCTCTGGGATAGCTCC